GTTTTGAAGTCATGGTTTTCATTCTCAGAGAGGTTCTGCACCAGAACAGGACACAAAGACACTCTTGGTAACTTGGGGACCTCCAGTACAATCCAGTACTACCTAACAGAAACTATCCATCAGTGCAATCTTTTGACATTTGTCCGAGGACAAATTAAAAGAAAATGTGATTTTTAGGCTCATGTTGTAGATCTGTGTGCAAGTGTCCAAACACCAATGAAAATAGAAAATAAAAAGCAATAAAAGACTCATACAATTTCAATTAGGTTATTTTTACCTGCAGTTGTAATACCTATATAATGTTGTTGATGTGAAGAGTCATAGCAGCACAAATGTGGACAAAGATTTATTCATATCCCAGATGAAAATGGAACAAAATCAGAAATATTTGCACATTTCATAATGTATTTTTACTTAACAATTCTTAACATATTATTATGTGATCTTTATAATATTGTGTTGAGCAAAGTCATAATTAATTCAATTTCTATAAAACACAAGGGGCACATTTATTCACACCCCTGTAGTGAGTATTTTGAAAATCGTTCTCTGGCATGAATTACACTGACTAGACCTGTCCTGTAGTGTGTTGTGAGGTTCAAGCGCTTCTGAGGGGGAAGTTTTGACCATTCATCCAGGTAGAATTGCTCTTGGCCCTCCTGTTTGGTTTCCATTAGGGAACTGCCTTCTTGAGTTCAAACAACAAATGTTTAATTGGATTGAGGTCTAGAGATTGAGATGGACATTTAGATGTAAGTTTGACTTCAGGATTCAGGATTCAGGAAAAGGATTCTTCTTTGCAACTTCGACATGAATGCCATATTTATGCAGGTACAGTAACTGTACTGTAGTGTTCAACACTGTATTCTGAAGATTCCAGTTTGCACAGTGGCAAGATCATCCTTCCCCTTTGCAGTAGATTCTGTTTTGTTAAATTTTATTAATGGAATGCTTGGAAATGTGAATAACGTGACCCCTGTGGTTTCTGGAATTCAGTTATTTTTGACAAATATTTTTGACAAATATTTTGACAAATATGACTTTACTTTGGATGACACGTATTTGCAGTGATGAACAATGCTGGGGCCCTGGGTTCAGATATCCTGAGTGATATCTGTGTGGAGTTTGTATGTCCTGCCTTGTTCTCTTGAGTTTCCTCCATGTGCTCTGGTTTCCTCCCACAATGTTACGTTAATAATAATACGTGTGCATGTCTGTATGTACCCTGTGATGGACTGACATTGCTTGCCAAGTGACTTTGGCTCCACTTTAACCCTGAATTGGAAGTAGCAGTTAGACTATGGATGGTTGGATGACTTTGCTTTATGCAGTGCAATTAAAGTATGATTACAGTATATTATTTTTAGAAAATAAAATTTAATGTTTAATCAAGATGCACTATTCAACCTGTAACCCATTCTTTAATATAATGTGGTTTTTGTTCCTATTTCATCTTAGGTTTGAATAAATCTAGTGAATGCTTTATAAGTATGTTCCAGATGTAGTAGACCTCTGTATAAAATGCTAAATAAATAAGATGGTATCTAAATAAAAATGCATTGGTATTGAAAATTTCCAAAAGATGATGAAATAACAAAATGTTAAAAGGTATATTTAACTACTTACTGTTCTGTTTCAATAGTGGTGGTTAAACATACTAGATAGAGTAAGAATTGAAAATACCTCAGAGTGTTTGCCAGGTTAGAGATGGTGTTTGGGCTGTTTTTGGAGCCATATGGGTTTTTTTTTCTTCTCAACTTATCAGACACATTTGCTGGTAGCATTGCCTGTGGCTGACAGTCAAACAAGTGGCTTACAAACAGAACCACTTCCTGGACATACCAGATTCTGTTTTCCAACATGAAGTTAATCATCTTTTTAGTCTCAGGGAGTATTTTTTGTTCTTTTTTGGACTGCTGACTTTTAGGTTTTAGTTGATTTAATTATGCAGTGTATTTTTTAAATGTAAATCTGACTGTAGGAAGACCTTGGAGCAAAAATTGCAGTGTCGTTGTATTGTTCAGTGCGAGACCTGACCGTTTAAAGTTACATTAACTTCTGATCTTTGCTTCAGAAACTTTAACCAAGTAATTGAATCAAGACACCACCAATGACAGTGCTTTTTTAAAACAAATCCAATATTGAGAACAGAGTGTGCATTCTGTGAGGTGGGATAGCTTTAAGGTGGGGAATTAATATTTAGATTTCCAGTATTGCTTCTAAAATTTAGAAGGATACTACAGAGATCTCTCATAACTAGGAGTGCATGACTTCACTCTTTGCACAGCCCTGCTGCAGAGAGGGAACACCCACACAGTATTCCAGAACATATTCTCCCTACAGAGCACTGGTTGCTCACATGTTAAACTGAGTGTGACTTTGTGTGCATACCAGAAATTAACTTTTTAACTATTAATTTAATTTTGACCTGGAGTGTCCAAAGTGTAACCATCTGAAGATCTTTTGCCTTCTGCCTTTAAAACTAAAACCTCCTCACCATTCTATTTTATGTGTTACTTTGTTTCTCACAAAAATATTGGACTAAATTGAAAAGCCTTATACATTTGTTTTACAATTGTATACAATATTACACAAAGCTCTGAATCCTTGAGGAATAACCCATTACTTAGCTGTTTCATTAATTTCATTGCAGTAGACATAACTGAAAATATGCTTTTCAATTAATTGTGTGTTTGAATCAGAATCGCCAATATTATTAATTATATTAATTAATTAATTGCCGTGCAGATCTCTGAGTTTTATGAATTTTGTGTGGACTGTAATATCTCTCTCTAAGGACTCAGCTATCTATCTTTTCCTTTTTACCATTTCATGAGTATGTAGGAAGGTGAAATATACTGTGCATATGTACCATTTTGGCATTAATTGCAGTTGTGTGTGACTCCTTATGATACTTGTGCTTTACACCAAAAATATTTATTTGGGTGACCTGTGTTTGATATACTTTGTGGAAAATATCTGACAGTCCCTCCCTTACAACCACCTACAGAGATTTTTTCAGGAAGGAGAGGAGTGAGTGAGATCGGGAGGGATTTCTGACATTCTGTACTTCAGCCACACAGAGATGGTAAAAAAGGCCAAGATCAAAGCCTCTTTATCCACAGCTGTCCCTTAGCAGTCTGCTGGGGCAAAGAATGTGGCTCACAGATAAGTGTGTGCTTCACAAGTCAGATGCTGAATTAAATCAGGCCGGTCATTCTCAGTTCACTCCAGAGCACTGCACAGTTTGAATTGAGAGTATTAGTTCAAGTATGGTAGCTTGCTGCTTCTTATGAAATCATTATTTTTCTTTTAGACTCATATTACACTTTTAAAGAACATTTTTCTGTCTTCTGTTTCCCAACCTTATCTGTCAAGAGGTTTGTGTTGATCTGAAAAACAAACTTGACTGATAACAAAATGTTTATGTTCATTTTTATAAATATATTGCTTTAGGTTTGGTGTTTGCAGATGATAGAAAAAAATGGCAAAGTTTGTAAAAAAATTGTACCCTACAAACAAAATAAAAAATATGATATAGTAATATTAAATACTGTTGTTTTTGTGTTACTGTACATTGTATAGTACATTTAATGGGTAATTGTTAAATAATTTACTTGTGTATTAACTCAAGTATCTATGAAACATAATGAAATTTTAGCCTCTTCCCTTTTTAACTATACTTAAGATAGTATAATGAATACAGAAGTATTTTTATCTGTAAAAAGTTGTTTTAATAAATAACTCAGCACTTTAAGAAACAATGTGTATATCTGAGGCTATGATCTAAATATATTGGAACGTGACATCTGGTCCAGACTGTAATGTACTTTGGAGAATGAAAAACTGGCACTCCTTGTGAAGCATACCAGGTGTATCATGGGCAAGGACTTTGGTTTTTGGGAGTGCTGATGGGACTGTGGAGCAGGTGCTGCAATCAGTGGCCAACTGGCCCTCCTGGGATACCGAGGAAATCAAACCTTTAATTGGAGACATGTGGGGGTTTGCATTGCTCCAAACACACATATAGTATTTTTAGCTTTTTGGTATGTGGCTGCAACTAATCTGCCCGATTGTGACTGTGATGAGTTGTAGCAGCTTTCTTGTGCTTACAGCCCTGCAACCCACCATAGAGCAGAAACCCTGAGTCCAGGACAGTAAGACATGTGTTTGGTATAAGGTTTCTGATCCACAATTTCAGAGTCCATCTGTGTAGTACCAGGTCTTGACATTTGATGGGTAGGGTTGTTGTTTAGAACTTGGTGAGTCTTGTGTTTGTAGAATGGAGACAGCTCTCTGGAAAATTTTGTAGAGTAGTCCAGAGAGACAGTACATATTATTGCAGACATTATTTTCAAATAATCTGGTTAATTGGGTAATTTAAATATAATATTGAAGAAAATCATTAAAAATGATGAGAGTTTATGACATTCCTCTTTAAATAGGCTGTTAGTTCTTTTATTTTCCAGAGCCTAAATGTAGTTGAACTTGAACTTAATTGCCATATGTAACCAGTACATGTAGTGGTACAATGGAATTCTTACTTACAGAAAGTCTCTCGATTGTTAAAACAAGTCTTAAAACACAAAGTACAGACAGCGCATCAAGATAATATACAAACAAACAATAGACAATGTACAAGTAAACAAGTAAACAGTTTGAATGTAAACAATGCAGACGTGTAAACAATGACTGGAGATGTGCAATAAATAAGAAATCATAATGAGGTAGATGGTGTAGCTGTGGTCCGAGGGGCATGGCTAAATGTGTTCGCACTTCTTGTGGATAGAAGCTATTGAAGAATCTGGTGGTAAGTGTCTGTATGCTCTTGTATCTCTTGCCTGAGGGCAGTGGGGTGAAGAGCTCATGCCCGGGGTGGTGAGTGTCCTCTGTGATGGCCAAAATTCTATTGACCATTCTCTGCAGTGCCTTTCTTTCTCGAGAAGAGGTGTTGCTGTACCACACGGTGATCCCATTGGAGACGATGCTTTTGATGGTGCAGCGGTAGAAGTTCACCAACACAGGTATTGGCATCCCCCATCGCTTGAGGCACCTCAAGAAATAAAGGCGCTTCTGAGCCTTCTTCATGATAGAGTCAGTGTTCACAGTCCAGGTTAGATCTTTAGAGATGTGAATTCCCAAAAACCTAAAGCTGGTGACTGTTTCCACTTCCGTTCCATCAATTCTGAGTGGGCTGTGAGTGTGTGGCCTGTGTCTCCGAAAGCCCACTATTGGCTCTTTCCTTTTATTTACATTAAAGTCAAGGTTATTGCTATGACACCACCTAAGTAGCTGTACGACTTCATCCCTGTAAGTGGACTCGTCATCATCACTGATCAGTCCTATTATAGTGGTGTCATCCGCAAACTTAATGATGCGGTTGTTGCTTTGTCTTGCTGTGCAGTCGTGAGTGAACAGGGAGTACAACCTTGGACAGCAGCCTTGTTCCAGTGCTCGGGGTGAGTGGTGTTGATGTTTTATTACCTATCTGCACCACCTGTGGTCTCTCTATTAGAAAGTCCAGCAGCCAATTGCAGAGAGAGTTGCACAGACCTAATCCCCTGAACTTTGTCACCAGTTGACTGGGTAGGTATAATGAAATTGAATGCTGAACTGTAGTCCACAAACAGCATTCTTACATACGAATTCTTAGTGTCCAGGTGTTCCAAGGCTGTATGTAGAGCCAGGGAGACAGCATCTATCGTTCTGGTAGGCCAACTGCAAGGGGTCCAGGGACTCCTTGATGGAGGAGTTGATGTGTGACAACACCAGCTTCTCCAGGCATTTAATCACCACAGCCCTACAGGCTGATGTATATCTCCCATTAAAAGGAAAGAGATGTTAACAATTAAAGAATTAAATAATGCACATCAGGGAATTACAGGAAATGCAGGTGATTTGTTTATGAAAAAAATAAATATTCTAAGAGGCACATTTATTTTTAGTTCTGTCATAATTGTAAACAGTAGCAGGGATTAATATTAGTTACGTTTTCTTTCAGATATATACAGTAGCTCATCTCATATTTAATCCCATCATACATTCTTATGCAAATGGTTATAGCTGGTTCAGAATTATGAAGTTATTTCTGATGTTCAGTACAGAAATCACTAAAAATCTACTAATTGGATGAGGTACTGAGTTTGTCATTTGCAGTAGCTATGTTGATGAAAGAATTGTTATAAGCTAAGCCTCAACAAAAAAGAGAATTTTGGTCTTAGAAAAGAGATCTAAGAATGGACCATTTTACGTATATCTTAACTAGAAGGTATAATGTTATAACAAGATAGATAGATAATACTTTATTAATCCTGTAGGGAAATTGATTAATATCAATTGATGAACAAGCAAGCTTACTATATATTAGATATAGTATATTTATGCCACCATTCTGAAACAATGTGATAATACTAAATAATTGTAGTTTATTATAATTTAATTTTGTTTCTTCAGCATCCTGATGCCTAAGGAGGGAAGGAGGACCTCTTCCCTCACAGAAGGCATTTAGTTTAGTAGCCCTGAGATACAGGAACTGCATTTCATGATCCAAAATCCAATGAAAGAAATTAGGTGGAAGCTGCTGAGAGAAAAACAAACATTTTCTTAAATGACAAATTTCACCGTGTTGCAGGTTTTGGAAAGAAGATGATCTCTTGCTGTACCTTAGATGAGTTACAACTTGTAGTTACTTTTAGAAAATAGAGTGCAGACTTTGACAGGAGACTGAATGCTTTGAATATGGCTGCATCCTTCTAAAATGCATTAAGGCATCATTTGTGTGCAGCGTCAGCTGATTGTGTTTGAAAGTTTTCCATCTTTGCCGGAGCTGTATAATGAAATGATAGTGGCAATTAAGGGGTTTGATAATGATTAAACCTTTTCAATAGAAAACTTAACTAACTAATGGCAACTTTTAAAAATAAATGGTTTGCTTTTTCTTCTTGTAGCCTTACAAAATGTATCACATTCACTACCACCAGTTTAATGCACAGAAACATGGGCATCATTGAATAAACTTGTACAAGAAGTTAAACATGATGACCGGAGTCTGTGATACAGCCCTGCAGTTTTGGGCTCTATGTACATTGTTTTTCCGATAAGGTTGGCATATAATATGTACATATGTATAAACACATTGTGGTGGAAAGTATGAATTAACCAACATCTGTATTCAACCAAACTGAAATTTCATGCTTGTTACATTGATGTTAAAATGGCATCAAGTAATCATTATGATTTATATGAATATCTCTGAGATTGTACCATTGCTGGCTGACTTAATAGGACCCTCCAGTCAAATGAAGAGATTTCCTCAGGGATGGGTAATGCTTGACAAGCATGAGACAGAGTTCAGTCATCTGCTGCCTTCATCCAACATAGAGAGGACTCAATCCTCTTCAAAGCTGGAGGAACTAGTACAGTGTGCAAATCAATCCCACTTGTATGTTACGTCCACTTACCTGACTGATGCATCTGTTCCATTTATACACATTTACATTTCAAAGAAGCAATTGGAGTTTCTTTTTAAGGACTGTAACAACAATGTCTTATCCAAGGTTTGAACCTACAACTTCCACTTACAAAACCAGAGCCCTATCCACTACTCCACCTCACGACAACCACAATTGAAGGTGACCCTGCTTTAAGAATGGAAAATAATCAGGCTAAAAATATGTCAAAATCTTGTCTAACACAAGTACTGATCAAACTGTTTTGCTGCTCACAGAGGTAAATCATTCAGTAAGGAGATTCCTAATGTATTTGTCATTGTGTGAATTATTTGGAATCCAGCTGCCTTTTTACACCCCATTGTTTTCAATTTCTAGGAAAATGCTTAAAATGCTGAAAGAAAGGAAATTTCATCTTCAAACCTAAAACACTTAATAGCACCAGTCCCAATTGTCAGCTTTTATAACCAAGAACTCCTGGTGCAAACATTGTAGATTTATGGTGAAAGCAAGTGTTTGAAAAAAAGTGTTCTTTTGTAATATGTATTTTCACAAAAATAGCCTCACAGAAAAAAACCCACAAAAACATGTAACCATTAAATGGCCAAGTTGACACTGTTAACACTGTGCTTTGGTATAAGAAAAAACCTGTTATCATTTCAGAACTCCTCTGTTGTTCATGAATTCAATTTAGAATTTATTATTCTTGTCTGTTATAATAAATGTGTTTTAGCTTTAAGAAAGTAGTTCAAAACTGGAATCGTATTAAATATATTATGCATTCTGCTCTAAATTACAACCTTGACAGGAAGAGCCGTCAGCAGGTTTAGTCTCTTGATGTCATTGTAGAGTAGCTACAGTCTATTGGAAAACTGCATAAAAAACTGGCAGTGTTTTGTAGGATGTAAACACTACAGTTAAAGCATTTATTATTGTGCAAAATTATATCTGTCTGTGCTGCTAGACTGGCCTCTACAGAAAAGCAGACAGTTTTTTATTTTGGAGTTTAAATGATGGATTACGGTTACAAGAGGGCAATACAAAAGTTCACTGTGTGGAACAAAACCTTGTGACTGATATATTTCAAAACGGTTTTCCCTCGGCTATGTGACCTATAACTTACTCTGTAAGCTTTGTGTTGAATTGGAATTACATTGAAATTTGTAAGTCTGCATTGGGTATTAGGATACAACTTTACACTTTCCATCCATCTACTCTTGTTCCAGAGGACTGGGTTCTTTGATCAATATGTATGCATTTATATACAGTACATATTTTACATACTGTCTGCAGTACTTTTGACAATGTGAATTTACTTTTTTTTGGAATCCTTATAAATGCTGTTTGCTCTATTTTCTATTATTTCTCTTTAAACACACATTCACAAATTATAAGAAAGTTATAAACTAAAGGCCATTCTATATATGGAAAATTATATTTTTAATTGATTCATTTTTTAAGTTAATGTGTACAATGGCATTACAAATAATAAGGCCCTCAACGTTTCCAGTGTACTTTTCAGTGTTCTGTGAGGTGCTCTGTGTGCGTAACCTCTTATTTGTCATGACATCATAGGAGGATGGAAGTGACATTTATAAGCTTTTTAAACTTTAAAAGAAGGGTTTCAACTGATCCACAGATGATGAGGACCTCATACATATGACAATGATATGTCATAAGAACATATCATGTTAAAAACAGAAAGAGGCCATTTGGCCCATCAAGCTCCTTTGTTTGCTAGGTGCAAATTGATTAAAAGATTTCATTTAGCAGCTTCTTGAAATAAAATAGGATATCGGCTTCAAAAACATAGCTGAGTAGCTTGTTCCAGACTTCTCCTGTGAAGCGTTCTGTTTTCAGATTTAATACACTTCCTCTGTTCTGTGTTTAGCTGATTATTCTGGAAACATCCATTAGGTTTTGTCAATGTGTATGAGAACTCTATATATGTAGATCGTTTCCTTTTGTAAACTAAATCTTTTTAGTCTCAAACAGAGAAAACTTCAGAGTACAAAAAGACTATAGGATATTCCTCTGAGACTGTTAATGTAACTGGTTGCTGTTCTCTGAACTATTATAAATTTATTCATATTGAAAGTAGTCAATGTTCTTCTGAGGTCATTATAGTGCATTATAAAATTTTAACATAACATCTGTTGACCAAAAGGTTATGCTTTTCACTATATATCCTAACATTCTGTTTGACTTTTTATTGAATTTTCACATTGTTGTATACTGTATGTGTCATCATGAACAGGTTATTTCATGTTTTTATTGCATGCATTTATTAACTATAACAGAATCTAAAACATTTAAATAAAATAGGAAGACTAGTACTCCTAATACCGATCCTTGTGGTACTGGACTAATTAGGCTTCATCATCCCAATTTGAACATTCATCTTTTTCTGTATTTTTTTCTATCCATTATGTAGTTCTTATTTCAAACATACACATTTTCCCATGGACTACACCTGTAATTTAAGTATTAATCTTTAGTAACATTATTAAGCCTCCTACAAGTCTAAATATACTACATGCTCTGGTTGCATCATTTCTTCCATTCTTGTGTTTTAAGTACCTTAATAAGTTAGTTAAAATGGACCTAATATTGATCTACGTATCAGTATCAATATTGATAATGTCAATATCAATGAAAATAAAAAAATTGAGCAGTTGGGATTGAATTGCGAATATGTCATGACATGCATCCAGTTTTGTGATTTTAGTGGTGATGTATTCAGGTCTAAATTGTTTATTGTGGATAGGAAAAATGTTGGTCACATGTATGCATTGCTGTTACTATTACTCTTTGTAAAGGCTATTACTAACAAGTATCACCAAGTGTTCTTTTAGGACCCTATGCAGAAAGCACAATCCGGGGAGGAGTGAGGAAAACACAGGGAAAAAAGCATGCAGAGGGGATGGAAGGAAAACTTGGGGGTGTGTTCAAGGTGCGTTGGTGTTCAGGGGGGTGTGTCCGAGGCAAACAAGTCAAAGGGAATCTGTAACAAATTCAAGAATGTTCCAAAGTCCAAAACTGGGTGATCCATCCTGGCAAAGACAAACGGAGTTAAAAGCCGGAGCGGGATCCGGCGAAGGGTTGGGAGAATAAAAGGGGGGTAACGGGAACAGACGCTTCCAGTACCGGACCCAGAAGGTCAGGACGCCGTTGTGAAGCCTATGCTGTCGAGTCGCTCCTGGACTCGCAGGTAGGCGGGCTTCCAGGTGTCCATCTTCCAAAGCTGAGCCCAGATAGGCAGGAACGTCTGGCTTTTATAGCACAGGGGGCAGGAACCAGAGGCAGGTGCAGGGGATAAGAACTAAACAAGGAAGGGCTGGAGCATCCTTAAAAGGAGGGGTTTACGATTGTGACATCAAGATGTTGGTTGTTTTACTTTGTGTCTCTGTTGTTAAATGACATAAAATACAACAACATTTTTCTGTGTTTACCTACATATCAATCAGATGTGTGATTTAAAATGTGCCCAGGCAACTTGGGATAGTTGAACCTTTAGTAATTACTGGGAAGTAATAATATTTATCCTAGCTTTTTTTTAGAAACACATGACATATCCCTGCTATTTCATATAGTGTCAAAAGTCCAGGGTGTTCAGGATTAGTCAATGCCTCTAATGCAAATTAGTTGTATTTGAATCTTTGTGACTGTGCAATCTTTATAGACTGGCAGGGACTTCTGATCTCTAGTAGAGAAATTCAGTCTAAAACCTTTTAGTTCTGATGTACTACAAGACACTTCCTCAGAACATCTTGTTCTCGCTCAAAAATGTATTTTCATACCTTTAGAAATGACGTTATGGCGAAATGTGCGGGAAATTGTGAAACACTGCAAGTAGTGTAATGGAAATTTAGCAAGTCTGCATTTCACCGCTTCTCCCTTTTGATGCTTTCACAAAAACATCAGACATTCAGACAACTGTGGAAGATGGTAGGTTCTTTGGTGGGTCTCTGTACCACCCCATAGCACATAATGGGGGGCATTAAAACAGCATGCCTTTGAAATTTAAAGCTTTGAAGTCTATGCAATTTTTCATGAAGTGTTCACTAATTATTTTTTTATAATTTGGTTTGTTTTATAAAACATAAGTTAAATACAGTACATATGAAATAATTCAAATACAGTTAAAGGGAGTCCAAATATAAAATGACAAGTGTCACCTGGCAAGCAACCAGGTTTGGCTCAAAAGTAAAGAAACTCCCAAACAGCAGTCTTCAAATACAAACAAAACTGGATTTATTGCCATCAAAATAGGGATAACCAAAAAATAAACCCTCACAGGAATACTCTCTGCACACCTTCCCTCCAAGGCACTCTCTCCATACTGAGCTCTCCAAGGACCATCCTCTTAAAGGGACTTGCTCATGTTTTTTAACAGACATTTAACAGAGATGGGCAATTTGATCAAAATAAAGTATTTAACCATCCACAAAAACTTATACCTTTGAGTCATGCAACAGTTATATATCCACTTAAACAAAACAAATAACCTTATATCTGTTATTTATAGATGGCTCTCCAGTAACCTTTCCCTTTAAGATCATTTGTGGGATACTACAAACAGGAAAAGTGACTGGTGGCCATCTTGATCAACACAATACAATACTCCACTGGGGGAAACACTGCAGTGATTTTAGGGAAACAAAAAAAAAGTATCATTCATACTTCATTCGTATCACATACACACTCTCAAACATACCAGAAGGGTAGAGGGAAATATTGGAGTATTTCAAATTCATTAAAAGAAAGGAAAAAAAAACAAGCACTCTGTTACAACAAGCAATAGCAAAACAGTGAAGTAGACGCATGTTACATGAGCAATGCTAATGCAACACCGAGCAGTGTAAACAGTATCCATGGAGCAGTACACAGTATATAGGTGAGCAATTATTGATTACAGAAAAGGGATATTAGTGAGCAGAGAGCAGAATCTTTGGTTCCTGCATAGTCAGGATTGAAAATGAATGTGGACTTGAGGTAGGAGAGAGGAGGCACTGACATTCTGGTGGAAGAGAATGAGTGATTAAAGACTGGGGCAGAGTGGTTAAGACAGTAGCAGCAAGAACAAATACTGTATGTGCAGCTATAGGGAGCCAGAAGACGGACCAGAGTGGTGGCATGAGAGAAACAAGGTAGAGAAAAGACCAGGAGAGTTTTGAAAGATTTGGAGAGGGAAATAGCACAGGTCAGGAGGCCAACCAGAAAGCAGCTGCAATAGTTCAGGGTTTGAGGATGGGATTTTTTAATAGTGGTGTAATAGGCACGTTTAAGAAACAGGGAAAACAGCCCAAGGTATATCTTGAGGGACAAGTATATCTAAGGAAGGAGATCAGGGAAAGGAGCCTGGAAGAGTTGGGTAGGTGCTAAATTCCATTCAGTTTATTTTTATATAGCGCCTTTCACAACAAGGTTGCCCCAAGGCGCTTAACAAAGCTGTTTGACAGTACATGACATTACAATACAGCAAGAGAAAAGGCCAGAAGGCAACACAGGAGAGGAACCAAAAACTCCTTTGTAAGGAGAAAAAAACCTCTAGGTCAAGGTCAACTGGCTGCCCAACCATATTCGCGATGTCCTTCTTGGATCCATGGCAGTGATGCAGCATCCAACTCAGATGGTGCCCAGCTCGGGCACCATCCAGCCATGTGGGGAGGAGAATAGGATAGTTTGGTCAGAACAGATGTATCTACCTGGAAGGCCAACACTGAGACACACAATGGCATGTACAGCAGCACCAGCAGCCATAGTTACAACGAGCTACAGTATGTTGTAAGGTGTGAGTAGGCTAGGCTGAAGTAATAGTTTGGATTTCAATCCTGAGATTGACTCGGCATCCTGTACATTTGCAATATTTCTTAACTGTAGAAAGCATGGGTGCGATACTGCATCAACATGTGAGTTAAATGAGAGCCTTGTGTCTAAGATGACGCCTAAGTTATGTGCCAAATCTTTGAGGCAAAATTTTAAGTGAGTGACAAAACATTTTCAGACATCCAAGACTTTACTTCATTAATGCAATTAGCTAGTGACAATTGACGAGTTGTCATTAGGTGTAAATTAAATGTATATTTGAGTGTCATCAGCATAGGAATGAAACTTAAATGCAAGTGGTAGGTTTGTGGGTCAAGGAAAAGAAGATGTTGGTGTCAAACAGGGGTGTGAAGAAGGGTCAGTAGAGGACTGAGAAGGTGGGGTCAGTAGGTTGAGGGTGAGGGTTGCGGTAAAGTGGTGAAGAGCATGCGGATGTCAGTGATTCTGGAGAAAACAACAATGTCATCTGTTGAGATGAACTGTAGTTCATCTACACATTACAGCAAGTAGTAGCGAGGGTAGAAGGGTTGAAAGGGATGAGCAAATAGCTAAGATCTTCTGAAGTGGTAAGAGCATGAGGGTGAGTGAGCAAAATGTAGTGAGCCTGTCAAGGGGTAGGAGGAGCAGTGAACATCTTGTTGCGTTCTTCACCATCCTCTTCTACTACGTAGACTACATAAGGGATAGGGGATGCACTGCCAATGGAGCTTCAAACTAAATTTTGAGGTTGTGAGCTTTGACCCACTGTGATTGATTAATTGTCTCAAGTGTATGCTACAGCCAATTTCCAAGTTTCTATAGCAAGGTCAAGTAAACAGCTGAAGTTTATGCAGTTATAGCCACATTGGTTCCTGTAAAGTGTTATGTAATACAACAAAACTACTTAAGCTAACACCAAAATGAAATAAAAACAGTTACGTTTGTGATATCTTGCTGAGCGTGTCTAGATGTGCTGTCTGTAATGCCAGCTGGAATGCCATCTGATTGCGTCACTTTCAACAATTCTGTCAGTTTACTAAAGTGATACTAATTTCTAGTCCTCAAGTATCTTAACCTTGAAGGTTTTCTAGCATGGCTAAACACCAGGCAACCCTGTTTGTTACATAACCAGATACCAGTATGTAACTGTAAACAAATTGTTAAATTGAGTTAAGTAAATGATTTAACAAGCAACCAAAAATGTCCAGTGGTTCTGCAGGACTAGAAGTAGGTGTTGCTGGTCCAACAGTTTGCTAGCAGTGCCACCTGCCACTTCAATCTGGTTGTATGTACCTATAAGCATCTCCTCCCTGTGTTACAGAATGACTGTGGAATATTATTATTCTACTGGTCACCCATACAGGAGGTAGATCATGGCTAATAAGTGGTGAGAAAGAAGTGCTTCTTTATAGCTGTGCATCCACTCAGCCATTCAGCCTTACAACATGTAGAGCAGGTGCTTTTAGAAAACAGTGCTACATGCAACAGAAATCTTGAACAGATTACCAGGGTGCATTTTGATATAACATTTTCTAGTGGGTCAAATAAAACAGTTGTGAACTGGAAACTCCATAAATAACTGAATACTTCTGCCTTTGCCATGTAAAAAATTATTCGGTCTTCAACAAAGAACTATACAAAGAACGATTGCATATATTTTTAAATAGCGCTGTACTGTATATAGTGTATCATGATCTGCACCATACATCTATACTTAATTAATTACAATTTGTAACCATTACTGTGAAAAAACATAACCGAAAAGTTACTCTAGTAATTTAAGATTATTTAGAGAGTATAGATAAACTAATTAGAATTGACATCTGATGTACAATACATATACATTTTCTAATTTCTCATACATGTATGTCGCATTAAATAATTTTAGACTGGAAGGTCTATAAATGAGAGAGTGCAAGAAGTCTTTTGTTTCAAAAGCTCCTCCACATGAACCACGTTGTCCCATTTCTTGTTTGAGCGCCTTATAATGGCAATGTTGTTTTATATAACAGTTCATATATTGTGTGCCGTTGCCATGGGAGTATAATTAATACAGGCATAGAAATGAGGCTGCAGCTAATGTACTGTAGGCTGAATATAATTTAGTTCACACATGCTTCTGGCCTAAGCCATAGAGTGACTAAATGATTGTGTGTGTGCGAGAGAGAGACAGCTTCTGTGAGATAAGTCTGGCTTAGTCTTATTTATGTTTGTTCTCATGATGTCCCTTGTTCTTGGCAGCTGAGTGTGTTTAGCCTAGTGATTTAAAAGGAATCCAGCTGGAGTCCTGCTGTGAGAGAGAATGCAAGTGGCACATCTTGCGTTCCCAGTGTGTTTTCCACCCCGAGAGCTGCCACATTGCTAGGTCCCACAGGGCCTCATGCTGAGAGTATGGATTTCAGAATTTGGGTGTTAGCTGACCTGCACACCAGACACATGCTGGAAATGACTTATTGCTGTTGCTTTCTATGATGGTGACATGCTTATGGGGTTTGTATTTTTTTCTTAAACTTCTTTACACCGTTCTAAAGGCAGACAATCACAAATCCAAGTATTAGCCAGGCATGAGCCTTGATTACTTTCTTGAGCTCTGACAAGATTGTTCATGTTTGGGGGGGGGGGGGGTGTAACTGATATTACTGGTGTGTTAAAAGCCAAAAAATATCCAATGACCCAAATTTTGAAACAGAAACATTTGATCTTAGAAACATTTGTGTTTCACTCCTGCTTATGAATGCCATTGGAAATTCATGGAAATTCAGTTTCTGATAAACAGCTCTGTTTAAACATGGCATACTAAAATGGTCAGCCTCAAATTGCAAGAAATAAATGGCTGTACTCAGGAAATTCAGTGGCTGGTTTCTATTAAACAAAAAAATCTACAATGCTCAGCTAGATGTATAGTTTTGCAGCCTTTTCTTATAATTTAATCCCTCATAATCCTGTTTAATGCCCCTTTTCCGAATTGGCACAGTGCATCCTGATGTGCTATGAGGCTCTAGGGAAAGAGGAATTAGCACAGGGCTTCACTATGGGGAGTGGGTCTTATCAACCCACCAGGAATGGAGGATATGAAAGTTATCTCACAGTTTTCAGGTACCACATTGCAAGTTCACAGTACATCAGTACTCCAGACATTGCTTCTTGGCAGTCTGTCTCTTTTTATATAAATATTGAGGCACTCATGTAATTGCAAAAAACAAGTTTTCCTTTTTTGAAGAAATTCAGTTTTGTATTTAATTTATGTGCTCATTGTTTAATTTGCCATTCAGCTTTGTTTCATCTTTGTGTTGTGCTCATTAGAGAACACCTCTATCATTTTAATAGTTTTATAATAGAATTTTTTATTTTTCTGGTAGTCTACTCATATCCTTCCAAACTTTCTAGAAGGTGTTTTTTATGTATTGTAAAGTAATCTGTGGCAATCAGCCCTAGTCGTGTGCAGTTTGTATTATAAAATGTAGTCTATAACAAGCACCAAATTAAACAAACTCCTTCTTTAGAATGCTTTTCAATGTTGTGAATATATTTGTTCTTCAGCAGCTTGTGTGTAGAATATAAGGTCACTAAATTAGAATGTACTGTACAAGTGATTAAAAATCAGCTTCGCATGAAACTCTGTGGTGAGGGCAGGACAATTTTTCTCTTGTTTTCTAAGGAATAGTTACACTTATACTGTATAAACATTATTTTTGTGTGTGACTTAATCAATAAATCTTAAAAAATACAAAATAATTGATTTGCTTTTTGCTCACACAGTGTTGAGCCTCTGCCGACCTGAAGGGTAATCTCGGGCTAACAAAGCTACTATAGAACACAGCCCAATCACAGAAAGATGTTTATATATTAGTATTTGACAGGTCCAGACTATGAGGAGCATAATGCTGTGCTAATTCTTAGAAAATTAACAATATTAAACTTAAAATGCAGTTAGATATTAAAAGTACAGTTCTTAAAATGTCCTACAGACCCTGCTCTGTTACTTGTGTTTTAGCTTACGTTTTCTACAGTACTCTTCAGTTCTGGGACATCAGCAGAACAATGTGAGAGACTTGTACTACAGTTTGTTATTTTTGGTTTTAATACAGAAAGTTGAAATATCTTAGATCAGATATCAACTCATTTTTAATGTGCAGTACTGAAAGGTATATACATTGAGGATTCATATAATATGTGACTTCTGGTATAATAGATCCACCTGTTCTTGGTTTATGTAAACCAGTGGCATCCTTAAAAGCCCTACAAGCTCTAGCAGCAGGTCAGTAGCACAAGTTGTAAAAGCCTTTGAGCATGGGAATGGTTCAACAGTCTTCCCTGTGGGGATGACAGTCAGTTAGTGTGATACAATACCTGATGTTCCTTTCTCATCTTGGTTACTGGCAAAATGGCATGTCTGAGGAAATAAAGGATGCTCAGCCCTTTCAAAATACCACATCTAGTTTTGTTAGAAGTTACCTAAACTGTTAATAGGACTGTGAGAAACAACTAATGTTACTAAAAACTCTGTTTCATCAAAGGCACAGAAAATATCTGTATTATGTATGCATAATACTTCACCCCCAGTTTTGACTCCTCAGCTACAAGATTTTGAGCACAAAAAATCAAATTTGCACCTTTTCCTTATCAACTCTTTCAATGTGTTATCAATGGATCAGACTCATCTTACAGAAGAAGGTGGTTAAATGAATACAAATAATTACATTATTACATTACATTACAAAGTTACATTACATTACAAAGTTACATTATCATAAGCAGGCTTATTGGCTTTTATTTTTCATTGGGCTGTTTTGTGATCAGACACTTGTGTTTGCTGGTCCCTGAAAGTTGCTTCTCCGTTGTTGCAGGAGTGTCCTCCCGATTCCCTGAAATCATGGCAGCTGGGATGCACTCCCCTGGAGGGCCCAACGGGATTATCAGGAGCCAGTCTTTCGCTGGCTTCAGTACTCTGCAGGAGCGAAGGTCCAGGTGAGGGGACTCTTTCTGATTGTTATTTGAGACTCAGGACATTAGTCCATGTTGCATGATAGATGTAGTCATTGTAATTAATAGAAAAAAAACTCTAAAAATCTAGATTCTTCTATTACCAGCAGAACAGCATTTTCTAATGTTGCTTAAAGTATTTTTTTATTTAATAAGTAATATTTCCCTTTTTCCCATTCAGAAAACCACCTTCTGTGCAGTGAGTTAACTACATTGAAAATTAACCCAGTTTTCTTCCAGGAAAAATAAGGCCTTTGAAAGCCTCCAGTCAGGTTTAACTGCCAAGTTAGGTGAAATTAACTCAGGATACCATCACCCTACGCAGGCGTCTCCTAAAACCTTATCATGTGATAAGATTTAATATATTTTTTGTTGCAACAATTGATATATTGTGTGCATCCTCAGGTGCAACTCCTTTATTGGTAACTCAGCTGTGCCCAAGAAGCCCCAGTCCAAGCCAAGGAAGACGCACTTGTCAGGACACAAGACCAGCAGCAGCTCCAAGGAGTCTCAACCCAAGAGAGTGGAGGAGGTGTACGGAGCCCTGAAGAGAGGATTAGAGTGAGTCTTCTGCTTCACATATTTGCTCTCCCCCAGTGGTGCTTAGCCAAATGTGAGAATTTGCAGTCATAGTCAGCTAGTTACGTGACCCAGGTTCAAACACAAAATGTTGGTTCATAGAGCTCAAGCCACACTTGTACCTTTACTGGTTGAGCCCCTCACAGCTTGCCCTTTTCAGTGCCTGACCAAGATACAGTGGTAGAGGAAGAGGATCAGTTCTGAAACCTTTCTTCAATGGTATTCATATTGTGTCCATAACTGTGGCACAGTAGGGTCTGTGCTCCCTCAAATGGTTTTGATTCTAGTTCATTTTGTACTGAATTGTATTCATCTATGTGTAGTCTTTATTCCAGAAAGACTGAATTAATATAAAGTCTGGTATTCTTCTTGATCTTTTCCCTTTGCTTTCCAGTGAATATCTAGAGGTTCACCAGGCAGAACTGGACAAGCTTACCTCGCAGCTTAAAGACATGAAGAGAAACTCCAGATTGGTATGATGCTTGGCTTTATTAGTCGTTAGTGAGGTGCTGCGTTGCCTCAATATAATTAAGAATACACAATTTAGTGGTGGATCATATAATGATGAAGCAGGACTACTTATTCATGAGCTCAAAATAGTTAAAAAAGTTTCATTACAATTGAGTTTTTCACAACAAGAGTGATTTCCAATGTTTGACCTACAATATCTTTAAGACCATTTCAGTTTCACAAATATCAATTCATATTTGTATGGATTTGCACTTCCTAACCTTAATACTTGTTTATATTAAAAAACGTGGGGATTTGGTTTTATGAATGTAACTGTATTAGAGTTTTCTTGGTGAGATTAGAGAAGGTCCAAGATAGTGGACTAGTGTCTGATCATTTTGACAATGGTTAAAAGGGGGAGTTTATCATCATTTCATATCATGTATGCATGCAACCGGTGTAAAAGTATGGTGCACTCCTCTTATATGAAGGGTTAAAACACTCAAGCATTATCATAACATGATAAAAAACATGTTTTTTTGTTTTTCTGTTTTGTTTTTCAGGGAGTTCTGTATGATCTAGACAAGGTGAGTTGGGATGAGAAATTTGACTATTTGGATTTAAAGGATTTAAAATGAATAAATTTGACTATTTGTACAATATGTAATTGGATAATAGATAAATGTCCATTCTGGTGTCAGCTAAATGCAACATTGAGCCAGAATGTGCAAGATACTTTACAGAAGAACAGGCAGTATTTACACGGTAATGTTTTTATCATGATAGTGATCAACAATAGAAATCAACAACATATCACCCGCTACCTTTTGTGGTGTCTAGTTTTCCTTAAAGTGTGCTGAGCACAGATTAAGAATATGTAACCTGAATTGGGAATGCACATTTTAATGTGCAAAACAATCCCGGTTTGGAGACCTAAATAAGTTTAAGCTAAGAAACACTTGAAGATTTGAAGATCTGTGTTTCAATATAGTATTTAGCCTGCAATGAAAATATAAGTATAATATGCAAGGATGGCTAGTAATATACAAAGTAGGGAATTACTCAATTTGAAAAATTTATATTTTTAATGAAAGCTACATCCTAGTTCATGTGGACCTTAATGGGTGGATGATCAGCTCTAAGTTTCTACATATTCCTGTAGTGTATTTACACATTTGGTCTTATTGTTGACTATTTTAATGTGTTTTCTAGAAATACGCATTTATTAATGTACATTTTTCCAAAACATTATTCTTTCAGCAAATCAAATCTATAGAAAGATATGTCCGAAGGCTGGATTTCCACATAAGCAAGGTACGTAGGCTGTGTTATTTTCTGTCTTAATTATGAGATTGTCCTGGGAAATATAAATTCTGAGTCCAAATTCTGACTGACGTGCATTTGTGTCCCTGTCACATTTGTTAATAATTAAAGGGGAACTGCAGTCCCAGTTTCTCAGACTGGCTATTAAATCATTCATTTATAGAAAATAATTTCCACATTTTGAATTAAGCACAAAATCATGAACTTTTTGAAAGTACTATATGGTCACCATTGTTGTCGCAAATGAACTGCAATGTGAAAAAGCCCTTCCTACTCACTAGTCACTGTAATGACTAATGTAATGTGAGTGAATAAGTACAGGTTGATCAGCAGACATTTAACTGGAGAAGTGTTTTAATGTAATTTGCATGCAGAGTTTACAAGTAAGTAGTATTTGTTGGCAAAACCAAGCAATATTTCTATTAGATTAAACAGATGTATTCACAAACCTGCTTGTTTAAAATGTGAAGCCTTTTTGCCTCAAGTTACTGTGTACATTTTGCTTTTATTGTGGTTTGAAATGCACCCATCAATGCTAACTCTTTCAGACCCTGAAATGTAAAAATAGTATTCCATTTCACCTTTAAAGCCTAAAAGTGGATAATTTAGACACATTTAGACACATTAACAATATAGAAATGCGGTCAATGTTCAAATTAAAATAGAAAATACACATTAACCTAGAAAGCCTCAGAAGGACACAGTCATGTAGTGAGGCTCTGTCTTTTTTCAGGGAACAGCTGATGAGAGAGATTCTCTCTGAGATCTCTGAGATGAGATTCTCAGAGCATTTAGCTAAAAGCAACCAACCGAGCTGGAATGGCATCCTTCTTTGTAACCTTTCTGTTGCTTCACGTGTGGGCATGCATTATGATTCAAATATTGACAACGTTTTTAAATTATTTGTTTAACTGACACTGTTGTCAGGTGAACAATATACTGTATATAAAACCAAACAATGTTTATATATTTAAAAAATCAACTTGAAGTACTGATCCAGCAATCTGGGGAAATACCTGCATAATAATAAGAATATAAGAAAATAAGAAAAATGGGGAAAAGACATCTGGGCAATGATTAGTTTGCTTCAGTATTGTACTACTTTTAATTAGCATTTTTCTGAAAAGCAAATAATGTTAGTCTTAATGTCACAAACATGTTTTTGCTGTTTGAGTGCCCTTTCATGGCAGAGCAGGGACCGCTTCTCTTCCTGTTTCCATTGTCTACAATGTGCCAGTGAAAACTAAAGCACTCAGGTGCTCTGCTACTCCTACACATTACTTAACTATCTCAGTGTCATCCCCACACAAGACAGAGATCTGTTTTTTGATGTAGTTCAAAACGTAATTCAAATACATTTGAGATGGTCAAACAATTTTGCATAAAAGGTGCATATTCACTTCATTTCTTACTTTAGTTCTCAACATAATGCCCTTCTGTCTTCCTTCCCCTAAAATTGAATTGAAGTGGTCAGTGCTTTTTTCCCCTCATTCGTGTCTGTGCAGTATTCATAACTCATCCACTAAAGAGATACTCGATGTGACAATTGGTGAAGAGGTAATCAGAGCAGTGATCTGACGACAACATGAAAGCCTTGGCATCCATGGTTATCGTAAAATGGAAATTTGAATCTTTAGAACCCAAGTCACTGTATGAACAGTCCCGCCAAGGATTTTTTCCATTTCAAATCCCAAGTTCATCCACTTAATCTTTCACCTTATTTTCCTGGTCCTTTATTTTTTTGCTACACATCAAAGCAAAAACAACTGCAACAAATCTAGGTCAAAAGTATTCTCGAGAGCTACTAACAACTTTTTCTGGTGACTGAACATATAATAGTTTCAATTAGCAGGAAAAATGAATAGATTTTTTTGTGGTACAAAGACTACATCTACGATTAGAGATTTTAACAATAACCTTGAAATACATCACTGGTAGAAAACTTGCAAATTATAAAAATATTATAGAATTTTCCCATCCTGACAAACTTTAACACAGCGCAAATGACTTTGGTTAACCAGGGACTTGGTTGTTTAATTTTTTTTTATTTTCATTTTAAAAAAAGAAAGTAGCACAGTTTTCAATGTTGATAGTAGTAACATATCTCTTTCTTATTGAGTAAAATAGAAGGATCTTTTTGTTTCATTGCTGTTAGAAAACACTTGGGTACTCCAATACAAAATCTGAAATCTAAAAGAATCTATTTTAAAAGTCAGTAAAAAACTGGATTTTTGTTTTTCTTTTGCTCATACAAGGAGTTTACTGTATGTAATTGTCAGTGTGAGGTGGAAAATCAGGACAGTTGGAGTGGAGCGGTGGCTCTGTGGCTAAGGATCTGTGCCTGTGGCTGGAAGGTTGCCGGTTTAAATCCAATGGCCGGCAGAGGAATCCTACTCTGTTGGGCTCCTGAGCAAGGCCCTTAACCCCAACTGCTCCAGGGGCGCTGTACAATGGCTGACCCTGCACTCTGGCCCCAAGCATCTCTCTGTGTGTCTGTGTGTCTCATGGAGAGCAAGCTGGTATATGCGAAAAAGACAAATTCCTAATGCAAGAAATTGTACATGGCTAATAAAGTGATCTCTTATCTTAGGTATAACTCCACTATATCACAAGTGTTTAGAGTGTATGTGTCTTGGTTGCTGTGAGCAGTGGACAGTTGTTAGAATTCACTTCACAGGTCTTTAAAAATCCTCTACTAAGGAGTTGTTTACTTTCATCCTGTAATACATAATAATATAACACCACATGTAGCAAAAAAGTGAATCCTTCACCAAATTCTCCATGCTCACTAAACACTTTGTAACACTGTCCTTATAAATAACAGGGTAAAGGTTAAGAATCTTTTAGAGTAACTAAATATTTAATATATTAAAATGGGCCGGAGTGGTAGAATATGCAGTACCTTTCTCTTTTTATTTACTGCAATATGTAATGAAAATGTTAAATATCACATTGCTTTATTGCAATTGCAGATTTATTCACAAATAAATCTTTACAGCTCTTAAAAGCATAATTTAATAATAACTTAGGTTAGAGCCCTGAATAAAATTATTCTCAATAATTGATATGTATAGCTTGGTGTTTTAAAATCTTGATTGTTTTGGTTTGATTGACTAACAATACAGTCATTTGTTTATGTTATGTTATTACATGTTACTGTTATTGCTATTGTGTAACTGTCTATTGTCTTATCTTTTGTCCTATTTATATACTGCTCCTGAGTGACTAATGAGAAACACTTTTCATTATACTATGCACCTGTGTAAGTTTAATGACAATAAAGTTGAATTGAATTGAATTGAATTTGTAATTCATCAGTGACCATTATTCAAAGTATCTTTCACAGAATGGAGGGGGAAGTGTACATCAACGACTACTACTATGGTAGAGCCTCAACTTTTAACATCTAAAGGATAAGGAGATTCGTTAACTTACTGGGTATAACAGAAAGTTGATAACTAGCAAAGGCAGGGCTTGGTCTGAGAACCCCCTGGTAACACCCTTGACCACTGAACTGCTTAGCCTATAGTCAGTTAGTTAAGCAGTGATAATGATCTCACTCTGCCGCACCCAAATTCCTGCTGGTATTCTCTTTTTTTATAAGACTTTGCTGGGTTTCTTTTCTTAAGTAGCATCTTCATATGAGTGTAACATCCCTAGCAAACAGAGTTCTGAATTAGGGTCTCAGCAGCTTGCTATTGAATATAGCTAATGTTTCTAATTCCTCTCACCATGGCAAGAAAGATACAATCATTGCAATACGTGTGGAGTCAGAGGGAGACAGAATTTCAAACCTAGACTGAAGAATGTGCAGTAAATGTGACCTTATCTTTGGCCTGCTTACCACACTATCATTTTGTAATGTATCAGAAATCAACATGTATTCTTTGTGTTTCATTATGAATGACAGATTAAATTAAAAATATTAACCATTAATTTTTTACTTTGTGAAATTACTGTCACAGGTTTTAGAAAGGAAAATATTATAGTAGTCAACATTGTATGGTTATTTAAAGAAAGGGGGTAAAAATATTTATATGTGGGTTGTGTCTGTTTATGTGTAAATGCATCAAATATATCAACATAGTGTTGTGAAAGAGGTTATTATGGCAAAGACTGCAATGTACCACTTCCTGCTTGCAACAACCACTTCCTGCCTGTGTAGGAGAGAGGAGGGCAGGGCAAACAGGAAATGTAGCAACATGTGGTAGAGAGGAGAATGGGGTATTTATGTGTTTTCTAAGGGAAAAAAGTGGGTGAGGGGCTTATTTTATTTATGACCATGGAAATAGTAATTAACCCTGCACTGATACAATTATACAAAGGGTTTCTCTAAATATTCTATTTTTAGAGCTTTTGCTTCAGTAATAAAGGTGACAGTAGTATCGTAAGTGTCTGACTGAAAGGAAACTGGTAGCAGAACCCCATTAACCATAAGGGGTACTGATAGAAGCACACCCTATGAACCTGTAGCAAGCACATAAATCTATTTTGTTATTACTGACTCTCTGCAATTTTAAGAGTGTATCTTTTTAGTGAAATTGTAACACTTCTATCTAAAGATGAATTTGAAAAAAATGTACATATGTTCTCTTCAGATCTAAGTTTCCATTCCTTTCAGCATTTTTTTAATTTAAAAAATGAAGCTTTGTGGGGGAAGGATAGATAGATTATACTTTATTAATCCCATAGGGAAATTGACGAAATTGACGGATAATTTACAGCAAATATCCTGATGTCGGTCTGTATTTTTTTAAAATGCTAACCAATAGCAGGATGAATTTTTTTTTTGTGTATGTCGTTGTCGTCTAAAAAACCAAAAGCTGTTCAGTGAGTTCCTTGTACATTTGGAAAGAGCAGTGTCATTTCGAGTGAAGGGCAGTTAGATAAGGTATAATTTGCTCACGGAGGAGGTGGAATATTTGTTCTGTAATTATTCCTTCTTGAAACAGTTCCCCTCATTGCTAACTGCTAAGTTGGGTAAAGATGAATAATTAAGACTGTGGCACTGAGTCAGCTGCCAGTGTTTCTCCTGCTTGTTCCAGAGAGGTGTTGGTCATTGTAGTGAGAGAAGAACAAGGTTCAAGTTCAAGTCCAAGTTCAAGTTTATTGTCATTACAATCATGTACATGGTATATGGTATAACGAAATGCTATTTAGCTAGCTCTCGGACATAAGTAGTACAAAGAGAAAAAAAACACAACAACAACAACCACAACAATACAATTGTGTAGCAAAAGAAAGACAGAGACAACAGGCAGTGGGGTCAGTATCTCTCCAGCTGTGAAGGTGATATCTGATTCCCAGTAGTACCAGCGTTAGCCAGAAACCTGAAACTCCATGCTCTGCTCTTAACTCCTTCAGAGCAAATTGTAGACTGGCAAAAACCCAGCTTGGATCACATTTCTGCAATATACTTTCTTCCACCCAGAGATTTTGACATTCACATTCACATTTTTTTCATGAAGTGAAGATAAGAAAATGAAATACTCAAAGCTGCAAAGAAACAGAGTAAGTCTACAGGAAAATATGATGTGTTGGGCTATTGTTAAACTGCAGACTGGGCAATATTGTCTTCATCTTAAGTAGTTATTAAATGGTGCTATGCATTTAATTTGTATAATTGCATTAGATCTCATGTACAATGGTTGTTGTCACATTTAAAGAATATTGCTACTCTAGAATCATCTTGGTCAAGGTATATTTTTGGGTTTGAATGAATATATTACGAAGAAAGAATCTTCAAAGGTACTTGGCACAGTCAATCCAATGGATGTAATTTAATCAACAGTGAAGACCAGACCAGAAGACAAAAGACAAAAGTACTTGGAAATTCATTGTTATCAGAGCACCAGCTTCCAGCAGCTACTAATCTCAAAAAATGGCTTTTATTTTGTGGGTTCATTGTTGTTATTGCTACAAACAATCCAGACAAACTACCCTCTTGCCAAAATATGTATGCACCTCTTTATCTGGAAGAAACACATTCATGCTCTTATCAATATGCAGTTGCATGCTTTTTGAATTGTTCCTCCTTATTTGTTTCTGTATACAGTTGACTAACATTAACAAGTATTGTTGGTCTAAATGATACTTTAAAATCATGCTTGCAGAAAAGCAGCTCTGTTCCATAAAGGATATCTAGCAATGTAATATTGTCCTTGATGGGTAACTCGGTGATTTCAAGATTTCAAGGGGCCTTGGAATGCCTGATAATGAGTTTCTGGATTTTCATAGGTACGGTCCACCCAACTGTATACACCATAGTTTTTCCACTTACCATTTCTGTAGGTAATGTTTACTGTTTGTACAAACAGGGGCTCCCAAGTGAATCAGACAAGAAAAGTGCTCACTCAGAGTGCAGGTTAGACTACATGATCTAGATGTCACTAGCTGACTCTTACCAGGATTCTCCGAGCTGCAGCAAACAACTGGCAGAGCATTGCTGAGTTAAAATAGGGATTAGTAGGTCAGGAGGCTCTGGCAAACACAGTTGCTTAGAGACATCAGTGAGAGACATGCTGCTTCTCCAGTTTATGTTACCTCTCCTGTAAAACATTGTGTCGAAATCTTGGATATCTCTGTATGTGGACATTTGGAGGTGCATGTCTACACATCTAATTTTTCCAAACCAGTACGGGAGTTGTTCCTGGAAAGCTGGCATTTTTAAAGAACAGAAAAGAAAAAGCTGACATTACCTTCAATAATTTGTCTCCATTTGTTTTGTCATAATTTGGTGTTGCAAAATTTGCCTTGAGAGTATGTTTTATTTCCCAACTTAATTAAATGGGTGTCAAAATAAATCTCTGGGGTACTGAGGGAAGCTTGCTGAATAGTACTGGGCAAGACTGTAATGAAAGGGCAATTAATCTGTCTTGGAGTTAAGCCCAGAGAGAAAACAGAGTTAGTATTAAATGATGAAAACAACACCTCTATCTTCCACAATCAAACTGCTCCACAGAAAACCCAGTTAAAGGCATTTATTAATGTGAAATAGGACATACTGTTCCAGTAAACCAGCAAACCACATTAACTCCTGTAGGAATAATCTGTCATTTCAACATGGTAACCCTTTCATGTTTTGGCAAAGCTGTTTTCCTCTTCATTCAGATCATTCTCGTCTGGTCCTGGACGATTTTCAGTAAAACAAGGCTCTTAACTTAAACTAGCCCACTAATGTCTTAATTGGTCCTGTTTAACATCTCCAAGCTTTATAAGTGGTTGTGCTTTAAAGAGACCTTAAAAAATCTGCAGATACTGGCCCTCCAGGACCACAATTAGACACCACTGATCTAACCCATGATCCCCACGATCAGGAGCTTGCAGTTTCATTCTCTTTTTTTTTTTTTTTGGAAGCTGCAAGGTTTAGGATGTGACGCTAAGGTGACGCTACACACCTCTGCTTTATGTTCATAGAGCATTTACCATTACCATTACGCTAATTATGTTTTTGTTTACTATTATACTATTTACTATATACTGTAGTTAAGTATATGCCCAAAGAATCACACTGCACTTCACTGATATCTGATTTAGACATTTTTGTAGACATTAACATTTCCATATTTCTAATTTTGTAACATGAAAAAAATTTCCTTTAAAAAAAATCAAAATGTGACTGACAAAAGCTGCTGCTTTTTGCCTTCTTTTAAAATTGAAAATGCATACCTTCTTGCCTCATGCCACTGTCTTTGTATTATCATCCCTGTGGTGGCCTGATTATGAACTGTCTGCAGTGTCCGACCACATTCAAATGCACAGTCAGGAGCGTTACATTGACCCTGCCAGATTTACAGAAAGAGGAATGGGAATTCCATGGAGCGATGCAGGGACAGTGGAACAGTGTATCCCAGGATCTCTACAGGCTGAAGAGGATTAGCATAATTAATTTGAGTGGGAAAGAAAGTCAGCCAATGTGTGATCAATTGTGAATGTTCTAAATGTGCATTTCCATGATAATAGAAGTGTGATTGCATTTGCTTATCAGTCTGAAAAACATGTTAATTTGTTCTGTTCCAAAGCCGACACCAAAAAGCATCTACAGTACAGGCCGTTCTCACTTTACAAACTTAGCCCTATTCTGAAAGCTTGTGTTAAATTTACTCAACAGTAATTCATTATTAAACAAAAAGATGTTTCCACTTTGAATTTAGCAGCCAAAGGCTGCTTTCCCTGACTGACCTGTAGTGCATTAATTAATATATGTCTATAGCGAAGAGTTTTGGAACAAAAGCACAAAATACCCTAGTATTTCAGTAACACACAGGGATTATGGCTCATCATTAACAAACATTCCCTGTGTGATTTCTGTCTAGCACCAAGGTTTTAACCTTTTAATTTCTTTTGTCCTATAAAGTGATGATCTGAAATCTTGATCTTTATATAATTATGGTAATAAACATGGCATATTTGCAAGCAGATCCTTCTTATCCTACCTTTAAACCTTATTTATGTCCTACTGGATGTATGTATCCCACAAAGAGTGATGAATCCTTATTTTTATTACATACAGGAGACTAACACAGTATGCCTTATCTTATTACAGCACCCACCCCACAGCTGGCAGGCCAGGATTCAAATCAAGCCAGAGGTGTTAGAAAAGCAATTTTCTGTTGCTTCACTTTCAGTCTCATCAGAAAAATGAGTAAAAAGAATGGTCGCTGGCAGGGCAGATGACTAGGTGTCTATTAGCGCTGTTACAGTGCAGTCAGCAGCATCTGCTCTATGAACAGACCCTCACACCAGGTGCTCACAAATGAGCAGCATTACTCAATTGTAAGTGACAGCCATTGCAATGTACATTACTTGGCTATAGCGCATACCTGTCTGAGTACGTGCCTGAGTGAAGAGAATCTGTTTATTTGTTCCTGGCAGGTGGATGAGCTGTATGAAGCCTTCTGTATCCAGAGACGCTTGCGTGATGGCGCCTGCAAGATGAAACAGGCATTTAGTGCGTCGCCCTCCACCAAGGGCACGAGAGAGAGCCTGGCTGAGATCAACAGACGCTACAAAGAGTACAGCGAGGTAAATGCCAGGTCTTGTAATAGGAAAAAACAATCCTCCCTGTTCTTTTATTTCTGAAAAATAGTACCTTTGACATCTTTGAAGGTAGTGTAATTTGAGAGGCTTAACTGAGACATGTCTCATTATGTCTGAGTCATTTTGACATATATGTGTTTTATATTTGATTAAATGGGTTTATTTACTGGCACTGACATAAATATTCACACACTAATGTTTACACACAATAATACACTTAATAAAATAGAAATTAATGTTTCTCAGGGAAAGTTCCAGAACTTGCAAACAATACAGCTGTATTTATTTCTTGGTCTTCTGTAAGGTCTTGTGTAATAAATTATATATTGCCCAGGGCATGTTGTACTAAACGCAGAGAATTAGCTACTGTTTCCCTTACTGGGACTAGAGAGGGTGACTCCCCTGAGGATGGTGCTGCTGGGAATAAAGAGGATGACTGTGTCCTGAGGTGATTGTTCTAGATTTAGAGAAAGAATGACCATAGAAATAGAAAGTGCTCCAAACCTCAAGTGTAAAAAGGCAATAATGTGTGAATCAGGAAAGATTCTGTATGAAAAAGGATATGAATGTCACAAAATCTAGACTCAAAGATACCAATAAAAATAATGAAATAATACAGAATGAAAAACCTCTTTGAAAAATACTACCACTAGTACATTTCACACACAAAAATGGTTATTCAAGGTACATTCTATTTAAGGAAACGAGAATTTATTTTTGTTAAAAAAAGCATTGCATGCCTAGTCTGATAGATATTTCACAAGGGATGTCGTCAAAAAAGAAAACAGATGGTATATGAAAGCAAATGGCTATCCCAGTACATAATCTACATCTAATGAGGGAGAAATTCTCTCACATGCTGAACCTCGGTGGAACTACCAACTGTCTCATTTTCCTTTTATACCCCTCAGAACATGTGCACTTATGAGTGTGAATTGGAAAATCTTTTGGGGGAGTTCCACATTAAAATGAAAGGTAAGAATTCTGAAGTTTGCAGTTGTTAATAATTACAGTAATGTTAAATTGTTTAATTGGAATCTAAGTCACAGAATAATTCTCCTTTTCTCTTCTCTCTCTGTCTTACCCTGTAGGCCTGGCTGGTTTTGCTCGACTCTGCCCAGGGGACCAGTATGAAGTAAGTACTGTTGCTTCCCGGACTTCTAAACACATCTTTCTTCTTATCTTCATTCAATATAAACAAAAGTGAACAGCTGCAAGAAAACTTTGCTGTCACCTCACATCTGGAGTTATCAAGATACTCAGGACTGCACTCTTCAATACTTGAGATTCTTAATTCACATGAGTCTGTTTGCAGGATTTCTCAGTTTCAAAATAAAGATGTAAGAGTTGCAGAAGAGACTTCTTCTTTCTGTCCACTTGCTCTTCATGGAGTAAATCATGCAAAAATATTGTTAATTTATCACCTAGCAGTAATTGCCCTATATGGTTTTAAGATGTAACAGCAATGTTTTGGTGGTAAAAGTTGTTGTACTACAAATAAAAACTGTCTTTGCACATCATGTGTGTTTTGTTTTCCCAGATTTTCATGCGGTATGGAAGGCAACGATGGAAGCTGAAGGGTAAAATTGAAGTCAACGCAAGACAGAGCTGGGATGGTGAAGAAATTATCTTCTTGCCCCTTATCACAGATCTCATTTCAATCAAGGTAGAATCTTATAGATGATCTAAACACTTTCAATTGCAATTGACCATTGAGTATACAATACATATATATCCACACATTACAGATATAACATATAATGCTTGAAGTTCTTTCATAATTGTAACTTGTTTATTGCATTATGCATCTAAAAGGACAACTTGCATGACAGTGATGATTATATTACCACTGTTTTAGTGCAACTAGTGCTTGTATCTAGTAGCATGTTTCTGTTTTAACAGCTATTGACAGATGTGTTTTTCACTTGATTATTTTAAATATGCAGTCTTGATTTCAAACAACACAAAATAGGTGGGGCTCATATTGTGATTTCCACTCTGTCTTTAGTGTTTGTACTCAGTGGTTTTTATCAAAGCAAAATATTTCCTGATGTCTTCAACATCATGCTTGTTTTTAATTAGTTGTTCTGAGACTTTCTAATTTGTCTCTGACCCCTGTCTGCTCTTCAGGTGACAGAACTAAAAAGCCTGGCTTCTCACATCTTGGTTGGGAGTGTCATCTGTGAAACCAAGGACTTGTTTACCGCTAGGCCTCAGGTGCTTGCAGTTGACATCAATGACCTCGGCACTGTCAAGCTCAACCTGGAGGTCACCTGGTTGTAAGTTGCAGCTTCTTAAATTTAAGTTCTTAAAATTCAGTTTAAAGAAACTGAATCAAGAATTCCCTTCTAAATTAAGTACGTCAAAACATCCTGAGAAAAACATCTGAGAACTCTCCAGAGAAAGGACATTTAAAGCTGAAAATGAAGGTCTTTGACCTTGTGAGGCTGCAAGATGGCTTTAATGAGATCCTTGAAATTTTAAAAGGAATAAAAAAGTTGATTGGCCCTTTGAAAATATTAGATCCAACAGAATGCAGGGGCATTATAGAATAGACATAACCAAATTATTCTTATAGTGCTAAATAAGTATTCTTTGCATGCAGTTTTTGCTAATTATTGCTCAATGATTTGGTTTGCTTTTTTAAAAAACTTGTTGAAACTAAGCTAAATTTCAAAAGTTTGAAATTAAGATGTTTATAAATGAATGAAACAAAGTAGGCCAGAATGATCTGCTACTATTACTGGGTGAGTAGTTCTTTTCAGCCAACAATATAAGGGGTTGTTGTGTAACTATAGAGGCCTGCACAATGATTGCACAGTGTCCCCTGCTGGGTAAGCTGAGTATAATTTCCAGACTGAAAGATTAGCTGTGTTTTAACCTCCCACCTCCCATCCATCCATTTTCTAATCACTTAGTCCAATTCAGGGTTGTGGGGGGAGCTGCAGTCTATCTCAGCAAGCAACAGGCGCAAGACGGGAAGCACCCTAGACAGGACGCCAGTCTATCACAGGGGAAACACAGACACACACACACTCACACCAGAGCCTATTTAACAGAAGCAAACTAACCTACCAGTGTGTCTTAGGACTGTGGGAAACATCCAAACCACCCAGCAAAAACCCCTGTCAACACAGGGAGAACATGCAAACTCCACATAGATAGCACCCCAGGAATGAGCCCAGGCCCCAATTCCAACTTATGAGGTAGCAATGCTAACCACCATGATGCATTATGTAGGCTTATTGTGTGCCTTGAAAGATTTTCATAATATGAGCATACAGTAGTCTATAATAGTATTACTATAATAAGTATAGTAATACTATAATGTAGTATAATTTAGCTTTTGGCAATTTTCGCCTTCAGATCTTCAAAAACCTCACGCAGAATTTTCAAATTGAAGAAGAATTTTTAAACACCTTGGTGTGTTGTCAAACAATCTTCTGTTACCATCTTTGCAGTCCTGAACCTACTACTTCAATCATCCTCATCTGTTGCTCTGGTGCACAGAAAAGACAAAACAGACAAGTAGTTTCATATTTTCCTGTGTGTGATATAACCTGGCTATAACCTGTAAAAAGATTAGAGTGCTTTTGCCTAGACACTTGAGTCCAGCATTCAAGACACCCCACACTGGTACTGTATTTCATAGAAATGACAAACTATTGCTGAAACCAAAAAGAAAAAAAACAGCATGGTTGTAGTTAACACATAAGAAAGAAACTTTTTTTGAAAAAAATCAAAATCTTGATTAAAACTTTAGAGACGTACATTATGATCACTAAAAATTATTCTTCTCACACCCTCGAATATTACTGTTATTATATTGTTAATATTAAACAATATTATATTGTTTAACTAGCAAGCCCCACCTATACTGCCAGAAAAAGTGGGAATTGAAAAACAGTAAATTAAATAATTAAATTGTAATTAAATAATTTTGAGTATGTTTAACTACCATTGATCCCCAATTCTAAAAACAGTGTGGAGCACTTTTTTAATCCACTTCTGTAAAAGATTAAATCAATTGCTGATTTCCCTTCATTATTTGTAGCAGTCCTGTTAGAAAATTTTCTCTAAGATCTCTTAGACAGGACCCTTGTTCTCTCCTCACCAGTCCATTTGATGTCGAGGACCTGACCCTGTCTTCTGGGAATCTGAACAAGGCCTCTGCACTGCAGAGGAGGGTGTCTGTGTACAGCCAGGGCACTCCTGAGACACCCACTTTTGAGGATACCTCCTTCTTTGTGAGTTACAATTTATTCCTCGGTTCATTAGGGAGGAGGGGTAGCTGGTGCTTTCCTTTATTTTCAGCTATTAGCTGTTTCTGTAACCAGCTGTTGCTTTTGCTGGTAGCTGTGGATTTTTTCACTAAATAAAAAAGGCAGTTTATTAATGTCAAGCTCTAGCAGTGAGATCACAATGAATCAAGAAAATGTTCTTCAGTCTAAAAGATCTGCTAGGTTCCAAGCTTTATTTGGAATTAACTTTTAACTACTAAGCCAAATCTTCTAATTATCCATCCAACCACCTGTTACCAGAGTAACTACTGGTGCCTGGTGAGGGTCACAGTAACACGACTATCCCAGAAGCATAGGGCACTGGACAGCAAGTGGGACTGGATGCCAGGCCGCATCACAAGGTGCACATACAGATGTAGGAAACTGCTGCAAAAAACTGCCAACTTGTGAAACCCCACACAAACAAAGGGGAATATGCAAACTCCACAAGAAAAGGTCCACAACCCACAGTTGATCCCAGGGACTGGGAGTTGTGAGGCAGCAGGTCTAAGTACCACTCCTCCGTCCACCCTTTACTGACTTTACTGGTCAGTAAAGACCAGGGACAATTCCATACTTACCTTTAGTATTTGGGTTCATTTTCCTTTTCTTATTTGTAGAATAATAAATCACATTGACCTGACTGCAACAAGGTGCAATATGCTTTTTGTTTCAAGCCTATACTCAACCAGTGCTTGCTGCTTACTAATGCTTTTTTGACTTTTGGCATTTGAAGAAGTGTCTACCACATCCCCAGGACAGACAGCATTTGTTATTTATTGATACCCTGCGGGACACATTTTTTGAGAAGCTGAGGCGTAGCCGCTCATTCAGTGACCTGCCCTCTCTGAAACTTCGGCCAAAGTCAGAACTGGAGCTTTATGTGAGTGCAGTGGTATGACACTGCTGTGTGCACACTCTGAGAGTCCCTGTGGGTCTGCTGTGTGCCCATTCTCAGAGTGCTGTGTGTGTTTCTGCTGTGTGTGTTTCTTTGCTTGTTTTTTTTTCTTGATATGGTTTGGTTAACATTTATTACAGGTGTCAACAATTTGTATTCTGATGTAAACCTGGGACCTTAGGGAATCTCCAGTCCCCACTGTAGTTGTACTGTTGGCCTGATTAATTCCAAACTAGCAAATCATTTTTTTTTCACAGAGACAACCTTGAATAGAATCAACACTATTGATTTGTTGTTTTTTTGGAGCTTGTATTTTCAGATCTGAATTCTGCCCTTGTTTTGGTTTCTCAACAGATACCTCAGTGGCTTTCAACTTCTTCTTTTAACTCTAAATCTTGTGCCTCTCTCATTGCAGTCAACCCTGCCTGATGATGTCTTTGACAGTGGGTCATGCTCTGAACGGAAGCGTCTGTCTTTCACCTTCCCAGAAACACTTAATGGCAGCACCTCGCCACTCTCAGGAGTTCTGGGCCTCTCCAACCCAGAGATCACAGTCACTCCGCCAGAGAATGACAGTCATTCCTTGCACTTGATGGGAGAGGAGAACGAAGAAGGAAAACAAGGAGAGAAGCAGGAGGGGAGGGAAAAGGAAAACAATGGCATTTTGGCGGGTGAGATGGACTCAGAGTGGGAGCTGCGTGAGAGCCTCCAGAATGGTCCTACCTCCCTGTGCTCGGAACAGCTGTCCATGGTGAGGCCTGAGGATGTGTTCTTGAATGCCAGCGTCTCAGAATCTCTCCTGCGGGACTCGGATGAAGCTCTGGAACTAAAGCCCGTGGAGCTAGACACAGATGAAGGCAACCTGACCAAACAGCTAGTGAAGAGCCTGACTTCAACAGAAATGGTCCCATGTCCAGACAAGTCAGAGGGCTCGCTGAGCTGGGGATCAGAGGGCAGCAGATCATTCCTGGACAGTAGCCTAGAAGAGTCCATCCAGGGACTGCTATTGAAGCTGGAGGGCGTAGAAGAGCAGTGCAAGGAGCTTCAGGACCTGGAGCAGGAGGCCATGCGTCTGGAGGATCTGCTGAAGGTTAGTGTGGACACTGGGAATGCTCAAGTGCTCCAGCATAGACTTCCTGTATGAGACTGTCTTTAAGTTATACACTTGAGTTTCTTTGTTTTGATGTTCTTAAGTTTGCTTATTTCCCGTTCAGACATAAAAGTGATCGCCATTTGATTTGTTTTTATTTATGCTTTAAATAGTAATAAATGTTGAAATATCATATTGATTGATGACCTATTCAGAATTTGTTACCAATATCATTTTGCTTTTGTAATTTGTCTTTTTGTTTGATTGCAATTTTTAAATGTTCTTTTATTTTTGGAGGCCTTCACAAAACTATGACTTCTGTTTGAATATTATCTTATTCATGTCTATTTTAAAATAAAATATTTTAACATTTATATATTCTTAGTTATTTGCTTTTTTAATATTCTGGTTCTTAAATGCCTACTTTTTAGTAAAGTTTTTATGGATTTAAAATAGAAATTTTGGGGGGATAAGAAATTATTTTTATTTTTTTCTGCATGTTTACTGTGTAGCAAACTGTTCCTTTTTTGCCAGATTTTTTTAGCAAGAAATTGTTTTTTAACTTTGAAACATAAGATACTTAACAAATGAGGCAGGGCCATTTGGCACATCTAGCTTGCTTATTCCCAGTAAGTTCTTTATCCGAGGATCTGTTTCTAAGGGATCCCAGGGAATCTGATTCAACAGCAGACTCCCATAACCCTTTGTGTGAAGATGTTCTTCCTGTTTCCAGGCTTAAATGCACCTTAATACATTTCAATTGCCACTTGTGTCTGTTTCTCACTAATAGGACTTGTATCAATTTGCTTCATATTTTCCTCTGTTGAACTCAGTTCCTCTCACCTGTTTGTGCATGACGTTCCTGTGAAACAAAAAATAAATGTTTTTTTCCTCTTTAAACCAATCTCACTGCAGCGCTGTTGTATTAGTCTAAAAGTAGTGTAAAATGTGTTTTTAAGTGTTTGGAAATGTCAGCTTGGTTGTCAACACAGAGCACGCAGTCTTTCTGAGAGGAAGGCAGTGGGACACAGTGAGGCGTGGTCCTCCATGAGAGTTTGAAGCTGTGGCTCTTCTGCTTTTTTAGTGTAAACCGGCTGCACAGAGGAGCAGGTCCTCCAGTTTAAGTCTGACTGTTGAGAGCGCTTTAGAGAGCTTTGATTTCCTCAACACCTCAGACTTTGATGACGATGACACCGGGGATGACGGGCTTCCTCGCTCCGTGTTCTTTGACATGGAGTCAGAGAGGATCGGGTGAGTCAGGGACAGCCCATAATGGATTGGTGCACCAAAACTCCCCCTTCCCTCTCTCTACTAATGCTCAGCCCCCAGGAGTGCACATCCACCAAGTCTATCTCTGGAAAAAGGGCCTGGCCTTGACCGATATGTTCTTGTGTGTGTATGTGTGTGTGCATGCGTGTTTTTCCTGTCCAGTTTGGTCACTAATACCTCTTGTTTCTTTCCCCTGTTTCCTCTATAGCCCTGTGACTCAGTGCAGTGGAATAAGGTTGTCAGTAACAATACCACAGGTGCCGAATTTACAGGCATGGTGTAGGTTTCCTCTGGAGTCTAATATAACTGTTGTCCACCTTGTCTGTTCTTGTGTCTGTGTTGTCATTACGTGAATGTAGGAGAGACGGCTATTGCAGTTGTTCCATTCAAAAGTCCTGCTCACTTTCTATAGCAGTGTGTGAAAGACAATTTGAGAGTAAAGTCATCTGAACTTTTCAGCCTGTATGATTTTTGTCTTCACAAAATTCTAAAAAAGAACACAAGTAAAGTATTTATCTGTAAGTAAAGATAAATCACACTTCAAATATAAAATCATCATGTACTGTACAGTTGTCCTTTGATATTTTTCTTTTTGATTTTGAGGGCGTCTTAATATCATCCTACTGGTCAAGTATTGCTCTTCAGCTCATGGCAATGACCTTTTTACTGTATGGGGACATCACATACTGTGTAATGTCCCCTACACATCTACTGAGCCTTTCATTGTTTGACAAGCCACCAGCTCCACAGAGCCTCACAGGAGGGACAGCTCCAACTATTAGAGCAGTGCAGCTCTTGCTGATGTCACTCCAAGCCTGCAGGTGCCTGGGGGTCAGGAGTCACTGTTTCATCTAGAGACAATAAAACAAAAGAAAATCATTCCAACCCAACTGCAACAGCACTCAATTGTGTGCCATGACTTTGGGATTCCTGGTCACAGTGAGCTACTGCAGCCCAAATATTCAGTCAAACCTACAGTAGTTATCTAAAAATGGTGATTCTGGAAACACAAATTAAAATTTTAAATGGAACTTTTTCAATAGCCTCACATTGTGCACATCTCCAGTCATCATACACATGGATGGATAAAGAGGGTAGGGAGTGGGTGAAATACTATATGCACCTTACTACAGATTACTCATAGTTGTGCAGTTTATGTGTGCCTAGGAGCTAATTGGGAAAGAGATGTAACAAAACTGACAGTCTAGACAAATTGCTGAGTGTCAACATTCTGCATAAACTGTGTTTTACAGCAGCAGTAAAAGCAAGAGCAGAAAAGTACTATTAATCTATTAATCTTAATTTTGTGCTTTAAATAGCATACTTTGTTAAAAGATTTGCATTCATTGAAATACTGCATGCAGTGGTTGTTGCTTGTGTTGTGCCTGAAATATTCAGCAAAGAGTCCCTATTAATCACTTTCATGATGTTCAGGCCTGGGCACCACCCAGAGGCCAGAGGTCACCTGAGCGAAGCCCTGACTGAAGACACAGGAGTTGGGAACAGTGTGGCTGGCAGCCCCCTGCCCCTAACCACTGGCAATGAGAGTCTGGATATTTCCATTGTTAAGCATCTCCAGTACTGCAGCCATCTTGTACAGGTACTTGCCATCACAAATCCAGTCTCACACTATTGTGTTGATACTGACATAAAGTTCCATCCCTTCCCACACTGACAGCTCTGGAACTGGCATATAGTCTCAGCCCTTTAAGATTCTACTCATGCATCTAACATAAGAGAAAGAATGTAAGAAAAGAAACAAAAGCGAGGAGGTTTTCTGACTTTCTGGCCTATTTGACTGCCAGAAACATCAGTGTAACCATACAAAATATGAACAAATGATTCTTACAAATTTCAAATATAGAATATACAGGAAACTGTAAGACCAACAGCAACTTTGAAAGAGTTACAAAGTTCAGTGGCTGAGATGGGAGAAAATGTCCATGGGTTAACCATATCCCAGTCACTCCACAAAGTGGACTTGTGTGTTACTGAAAAAATGACTCAAAGTCCATATGAGATTTGCAACAAAGCACAAAAGCGATATTGGAAATGTGGCAAAATGTTTTGGGGTTAGAATAGAAGAAATTGAGGTTTTTTGCTGTGAATGAAAAGCATTACATCTGTATCTATATCACTCAATCAACATCATCCTTACTGTCAAGTATGGTGGCAGCATTATGTTTGTAGTTATGCTTGTCATCAGGACGCACTTGAAAGTTATTGAAAACTGGAACATAGCTGGAGAAACGTATTGGCGAAAACCAACTTCAGACCTACAACTGGGACAAAAATTCACCCTTGAGCAGGACAATGATCCAAAGCATGAGGCCAAATCAGCACTGAAATGGCTTATGAATAAGAGAGTGAATATCCTTTAGTGTTCCAGTCAAAATCCTGATTTGAATCCTATTGTGGATCTCTTGAAAGGCTTGTAAGTTTCTGTCCATATGCAATTTCCAAGCAATTTATGGAGCTTGAGCAAAAGTGTCAGAAAATGCACAAAGATGATTGGCAGAGGTAATAGAAAATGCCCAAACAGTCTTACTGTTGTAATTGTCACTGTAAGTCTGAATACTTATGCAATCAACATATTTTATTTTCTTCTGTGTTTTTTTTTAATTTACTGTATCTTCTCTGACCTTTAGAAGTCTTCTGTTTGTGCATTACATTTTAAATAAAATGTCAACTGTAAAACATATTGTAAACAATTAATCATTTTAGAATTTCACACAATGGAAAACCATAGGAAGGGTTTGAATATTTTTGCAAGGCACTATACTATGTTAATAACATTTTTCTGGCTCACAAGCAAGATTACCTTTGCTTTTTTAAAAGAGAAAAAGAGTGCTACTGCCTGCTATAAATTGTCTTCTTCCTGTGTTCACATGGGTTTTCTCTGGATACTCTGGTTTCTGTCAGCTTCTCAGTAACATGCAGAACAGGTTTGATTGGCTGTATTAAATTGTTCCTTCAAGCATCCAATCCCTAGCCCCGTGAAGTAAGGACCTGGGCATACCACCAAATGGCTCTGCCCTGTATAGACAGGCTCTGGTGCCTCCCCACCCAGCTCTTCCAGTTGGGTTCATGTTGCCATTAGCAGATTAAAAAGCAATTTAACAAAATATTAAAACTTAATCCTAAATTAATCCTAATAAAAATGTTGCAGATTTGATCACTAGGGAATGGAGTGCAGACAGATACAAATCAGAAGAGTCTACATCAATTAAAAAAATGACAGTTATAACACACCCATTATAGACTACAAGCTGCTTTAAACAGAGGAAGATGTGATCAACATGATCATGCAGTGTGCACCTCGGTGACCCTGGTCTTCAGATAGCTGCAATATGCGAACAAGTGAAGCTGAGGTGTGTTGTCCTATGGTTGGTTTTTCCAGCAGCTCTTGGCCTCCAGGGGGAGCCCTTCCCACCGGCGAGCAGTGCTGCAGAAAATCTCGGGACAGACCCTGGTACTGGAGGAACTGGGAGAGATCAGCACAGAGAGGCTGGGGGCCATCAGCTCTGTTGCAGAGGGTGTGTATCCTAAAATCTGGCTTGTCAGAAAACGTCAGTGGTTGAAAGATGTGTGTTCCTCTCATTTAATTTCTTAGCTGTTTATCAATTTAGATCCATTCTGCATTTTATTGCCTTCTTTCAAAATAGCACTTTTGTCTGTTTTTTTGTCTGCAGTCTTCTTTTTCTTAAAAAAAATAATCAGGGTGGTGTTTAAACTACTTCAAAGTTCCCAGTGAAACCCATCGAGGTATTAATGGAAAAATGGATGTGTGCCCTTGAGGATGGCAGAAGAAAGTAGGGAAGGCAATCAAATGTGATTTAATTACAACCTTCCCATCCACAGTTCTCTTAACCATCCTTAGCCATCATCCATGCCAGTAACCCTTTGTTGCAATATAAGCTGCTACATCACCTGCAAATAAATATCCAGTAGCACACATATACATGGCCTGTCTGGTTATTTAAAGTCCATTTATTGCATCACTTGCAGGAAACAATCTGCCATTTACATCGGTGAAATGGGGAGAAGACCAAGGAACACATTAGAGCAGCGAGGAACAGAGATCTCTTCAGTCCCATTGAATGTCTCCATTCATTCACAAATTTCAGCATTTAACACTGGAATTCAGCCCCAAGATTTCCATGTGTTTGGGCCCTCTTTCTCAACCGCTGCGCCCATTCTCACAGGCTCTTTCTATTGTCTCCTTGCCCAGCCCTTTGCTTTCTCCCACACTACTGAAGAAGACTCCACAGCTGAAGCCTTGGATCTTTTCTTTCTACTTCTTAGGTTGGAATTAACCTCTGCTTGTTCCTTTACAGTTCACACCCTAGATCTCTCCAGTGAAACCTCAAACATGATCTGATTTTTTTTCCAAGAGGTGGTGTTCAACAAAACAGAAGGAAACTGAAGAAGGTTGAGAACACAGAGTGAAAATGTATAAAATGTCCAAAAGGTGACAGTGTTGAGCACACACCATTTACCCATCTTAATCCTTAACTCAAAATAATTTCACAGCATGAATACCTAACACTTTTAGGCAAGTAAACATAGTATTAATATAGTATAGTTTATAACAAAGCAAACTGAACACAATGATCATATTTCTTTTTATGAATCCAGACAGGATGATCTGTTACACTCTATTTGTAACATATTATTTATTCCTTCACCAGAAACAAAAATCTAATCCTTCAAATAATACCAGAACACAAGCATTTGGCAGTTTGTAGTAAGAAAGAAAAACAAAAATATGTTGAAAAATATGCAGTCAGACATAATAAGTTAAGGTATGGACATACCATAAGTATGCCTCTCCCAGCCCCACCTCACAAGATGCACCTGAAGAAAAGCTGTGATTATGAGGCATGAATTCTTAAAGCTCTAATAAGAGGTTCACATGTCCTATTCTGAGTTAGTGGGAGAGTTAAGAAAGTGTTGCTGTATTATGGGGCCCCATGGAACATTGCAGCTGGGTGAAGGAGTGCCTGTTAGGCCGTTACAGCACCAGTGCATGTGACAGTGATGCTGCTGTGTTGGTGTTTCCGTCTGTGTGTGTGAGTGTGTGTTGGGCCATGGAAGTGTTTGCCTTGATGGTTTGTTTCTTTGTTCCTTCAGTTATCCCAGGATTGGCGCAACAGCAGGCCTTGTTGTCACTGTGGGTGGGGTGCAGTGGGTCAGGAAGCATGTTCCACACGACAGCAGACAGGATCCTGAAGCAGATGCACTACTGCTTTGCTCCTGCCCTGCAGGAGAGATGCCCAGATGACATTGACACAGGTATGAGGAGAATGCTGCATGAGGAGAGACCGGTTTATTTCATGAAAGCTAATTTATCTCCCTTTCTCTAAGTGCTTTTCTTTGGTATTATCATACTTGACATAATTTGACCAAATTAGCCTGGTAAAGTATAGTCATTTATCATGATTTGTTTTTTAAGCTTGAAGTGTCAAACAAATGACAAAGTTCAGGTGTCTGTGAAGCAGAAGTCCCTTTATTCCTATGCATATGGAAGTCTGGCTTGCGACCACCAGACTTAAAAAATAAGTAGCTGAAGATGGTCCTTTATACCTTAAAACACAAAGAGTTACTATGACATATTCCAAACAAATGATGAAAAAGCAACACCTGCCAATTGATTATATCTAAGTTGCAGACTAGACAACAGTAAGGGTCTTTTCATAATCTGGGTGTACAGCCAGCTTACCAAATCCGTGCCCTTATCTTACTGACCAAAGACAGGCAGCATCTTTATATACATTTGAGCACAAAGCTTACGTCAAGCCACTAAACTGCATAGTTTGCAAAAAACATACAAAAACATGAAAATGATATTATCTCACTTCCCGGGCATCTCTCTTATCTCTTCATTCTTCAAGCTCAATACTGAACTTGAAGGAATTAAACAAGGGAATTGTATTTTAAGTATAGTTATGTAAAAAATACACAGAATACATTGTTATGGAAAAACACTGATTCATTAGGAGGTTTGCTGTATTCTGTTTCCCCAGCCATCCAGACTGTGGTGAGTGAAATGACAGACAGGAGTGAGCTGGCCTCCTCCACCTCCTCTCCCTGCACTTTCTCCCAGGACGTGGTCACCATCTTCCAGTTCCAAAACTACATCTCCACCTATAGGGTTTCCAACATGGAGGACCACCTGTTTCAAGTTGCCAGTGAAGGTACTACCATCCCAAGTTAGACATCTGAGCAATAGTTTAGAATCTTGTAGGCCTTTTTAACACATAAAGTCTCTTATTAGAAAATTCATGCCCAAAGATTCCATGTGTTGTCTAAAGTAAATGACATAAACCCTTGTTTGGGGGAAAAAAAGATGTGTTGCATTATGAGCCATTACAGGTTTTATGAGTGAAAAACCCTTATTTAAGCCAAATTCAAGACACTGAAACTGCTGTGAAGGTGAAAATGGGGTTGTGAAATCTCTGTGAGACAGATATGCAAAAAGGAGCTCAGGAGGTGACACATATTTAGCAGAGTGAAAGTAGTCAGGATTAGGATGTGACCTTGCATCTGAACTTCTGTTAAAAGCACCATGTGTCGGTTATCGCAAGCCATTCTTAAATCATGCAGTTCTTAAATCCTGATATGGATCAAACTTCTATGAGGTGGGAGGCCTGGTTATTCCCCTGATGTTTCAAATTCAGTCTGTCTTCTAGGATTATGAAGCCAGGCTCAAACATGGTGGTAAAGTGACAAGGCCAGTAAGAGACCCAAGAATTGTGTGATTAGTGGCCTCACTGTGGCCTCAGCTTAGTTTTGTGCCATTTCAGCTCGGTTCCTGCTGGCCCTGCGGTCTTCAGAGGTCTACTGTGTGCTGAAGGAGCTGGAGGAAGTGGAGGTCTTGGCTCTTCAGCCTCGACAGGAGACTCTGAAGGTCGTAGCTATGCTTCTAACTTCCGACTCTATACAGATCAGGCAAGCTGCAGACCGATTCCTTCAGACGGGTGCCAGAGACACAGCATTTAGACAGAAGGTGAGCGCTGGTTTTCCCTGTTCTCAGAATGAGTATTCTTGGTGCAGACCCACGATGATCCAATATGAAGCCCAGTATTGAATGAATCCGAACCATGTCACTGTTACTCCAGTGAGCATGGTGCCAACTGCTCACATTTAAAGTTATTAATTGCCTTTAAAAATATATTTAAAAAGTGTTTGGGAGCATAATTGATGTATTTAAATTTAAATTTAAATTTATTTCAATTTGCAGAAAATATTAATTAATTTGCAGTGAGTTTTACAGGTATTGGGACACCCACTTCAAAATGCAGTACATTCAATTAAAAAATAAATTACATTCTTAATAAAGTGGCAGCAGACAATAAAAGATTCCATTACAATTAGTCTGATTTTATTAGTTATTTTAAAGTGACTCCATTGAACAGAAAAATAAGACTAAGACTGAGTTTACAGTGCATTCAACGTATTAGCAACTCTTTTTGCATAAATTCACTGCGCAGTATATCAAGCCATTAGCTAGAAGCTGACATACTAGGGTCCTCAAAATGGAGCTTGAAACTGTTTGATACAAGTGTACGAAACTGACAAGCTCTGGTTCTTGTGTTCACATGTGTTCTTGTGAAAGAGACAGACAGGGCCAGTGCATGGCTCTGATGTGTGTGCTGTGTTGTGCAGGCAGTTTGCTACTACACAGAGGCTCTCTCAGAGGCGGGCGTGCACAGTCAGAGAGCAGCTTGTGCCGCGCTCAGCTGTCTAGTGGTGAGTGACTGGTCTAGGACCACTGAGTCAAATACATGGAACCAAAGAATGAATGTCCATTTACATTAATTGTTATTCTTTACCATTTTGTGTCATTTGTTCATATGCTGGGAAGGACAATACTTCTTGTTTTGAAGAATTATTTTTTTACTTTAAATAGATTCATCTGTCCAGCCGAACTATCATGCTGGTACACTCCAGTGTCGGTGAAACTCCCAAGATTTGGCTTTCTTTGGTATCCTGCTGATCTATAATTCAACAGGAATTGTTTGTTTGTGAAGCAGAAAGAAGCATGGGTTTCTTGGGGCTAGCTGGATGTCGGTCATTTAGGGAAGAGCGTAAAAGGACAACAGATTAAAGTTAGTTGACCTATTCCAACAGCTAAATGGTGAAATCAATAACATCTAAAAGAAAACATCTAAAATAAAAGAATACTTTATTTATGTAGTTTCTCTTCCTCTGATCCTCTGATCGGTAATACAGTTACTTAACAGTGCTCTTTTATCTACCCTTGACACCTTTGATCCTTTAAAAACTCTAACCATCTCCTTCTTTCGCCCTGCCCCCTGGACCATCTGTGATCTATGAAGGCAGCATCCCGCAAACCTGAGCATTGGTGGCGTCTTTCTGGCCTAAATGTAAAGGCTAGGAGAGATTACTTGTCTGGATATAATGTTACAATAGAGTCTGCTAGATCCAACTACTCTCACATCATTGAAAATTACCATAACAATCCCAGACATCTTTTCTCCACCATCAACAACTTGCTAAAGCCAAACTGCCCCACCACATTACCTGCCTCATCACAACTTTGCAACACCACATTCTTCTCACTGTCCCATTGTCCTCAATATTATAAATAAATCCTTGAGCACTGGCGTTGTACCAACAGTCCCCAAAACTGCTGCCGTTACCTCCCGTGCCAAATAAGCCTGACATGACTCTAGACAGTCTTAACAATTTTTGCCCCATCTCCAACATACCCTTTCTTGCAAAAATTCTAGAACATGCTGTCACATTTCAGTTACATAACCACCTCATGACAAATAACTTTTCCGAACCCCTCCAATCTGGCTTCCGTCAACTTCACAGCACAGAAACTGCTCTGATCAAAGTCATTAATGATCTTCTAATAGCTCCTGATTCTGGTTCTCTTTCTATACTCATCCTTCTTGATCTCAGTGCTGCTTTTGACACTGTTGACCATAACATCTTACTTTCTTGTCTTGAGACTGTGTTTGGAGTTTCTGACACTGCTCTCAAATGGTTCAAATCTTACCTTACTGATCGCTGTCACTTTGTCTCTCTTAATGAGTATAGGTCTGAAATTGGATTTGTTAAGTCTGGTGTTCCTCAGGGTTCAATACTGGGCCCCTTGCTCTTAAGCATTTACATGTTTCCACTTGGTCAGCTTTTAAGATCACATAGCCTCAGCTATCGTTTATATGCTGATGATACTCAAATATACATCCATATCAAACCTGACACTGATGTGGCTGTCTTCTATTCTATCTAATCGCATCTCTGACATAAAAACTTGGATGACTCAAAATTTCCTTCATTTTAACTGTGACAAGACTGAACTCATGCTTATTGGCACCCCCCATCAACTTCATAAAGCCAATCCTGTATCCCTATCTGTAGATGGTTCTGTATTTGAGCTTCAGTCTAAATTGAAAAATCTTAGGGTGATATTCGATTCTGGCTTAACATTCGATCCAATTGTGCAGCATATTGTCAAAACATTTTTTTCCACCTCAGAAATATCGCTAGACTACCCCCTATGTTATCACTAACTGTGGCTGAAAATCTCTCAAATTGACAACTATAATGCTCTACTCACTGGGGTATCTAAATCTACTTTGAACAAACTGTAGTATGTACAAAATTCCGCAGCCAGAATCCTGCCAGGTCTAATGCAAGTGATAACATTACTCCTTTCCTGGAGTCCTTGCACTGGCTTCCTGTCAAATTCCGTGTGAACTTTAAAATCCTCATGCTCACCTATGAGACTCTGCATGGCCGTATCGGTACCGGTCTGAACTATTATCGCCCTACTCCGCACCTTGCAACTTTCGCTCTTCTAATTCTGGTCTCCTAAGTGTCCTACTAACCCTACATTGTATGGGTGACAGAGCCTTCTCCTGTTATGCCCCCAAGCTCTGGAACTCTCTGCCCAAAGACACAGAGAGACCTTCTCTAAACTCCTTCAAATCCAGACTCAAAACCTTCTTTAGAAGAGCCTTTACTTAACTGGTTCCATTCTTTACCCCTCTGCTTCTTCTTTTCTTAGTACCACCATCCATGGTCTCCTCTGTATATTGTAATTGTGTTTTATCTTGTGTATTATTTTTATTTGTTGTTGTCATTCTGTTAAGCGCTTTGAGAAGTCACCTTTAAAAGTGCTATATAAAAAAGTGTATTATTATTATTATTATTATTATTATTATTATTATTATTATTATTAAGGAATTGTGGCTTTCTGAAATGAATTGGCCATTCTATTAAACTCAACACTCTAAACTTTTTGGTGAGCAGCTTAAAAGGATTTTGAGATCTATAAGCTACTAGCAGCCACATAAATAAATATGGGTTTAATGGTGTTAGTGTAACTCTTCTCATGGTCATCACTTCATCTCTTGGCAAAACGTCAACTACCTAAAGACAATATAACTCTTATATTCTTAAATATAACACTGTGCAATCCATCTTAATGTACAAAACTGAAAAAGCTTTTTGAAGACACACCATACAGAAATGTATGCCTAGAGTTTCTCCATTCTGCTTTCTATTTCATCTTCTGTAATTTTCTATTTCTCTAATATGACTGCACTACGTATTTTTGTTGTGTTCATATGCATTTGAGTAAAAGTATGACTCTAGCTTTTTACCAATTCTGTCTCTCAGGCCACTGAAAGTATTGACGCTGTGGTGTCTCTGTGTGACTCTGCCGATGAGGAGCTCCGGAATGTTGCCACAGAAACACTGCTTACTTTTGGTGAGTCTGGCTATATTACCTAACCCCTGTGTTCCCGTTCTGAGCCCAGGTTGAGCCATGAAGCCCGACACTGCCATTCGTGTTTAACCAGCTGTGACTGTGATTGCCAGTGGGCCAGGGTATTCTTGGTTCTTAACACAGCAGCAAGACCCGTGGCTCAGTCTGGTATCAGAGAGCTTGCAGTGTTATCACTGTGTGATAATACCACTCACTGCTAGCTCTGCCCTAGACACTGTAAGTATAGATGGTTTAACTGCACATTTCTAACATCTCTCCCATATTATTACTAGGTTTGTAGCAGTAGGTTAAGTTGATTGTTTATTGCCAATTCCAAAAAATGTTGCTGATTGTGAACTTATTTTCTTAGACAAATATGTACTGTAATTACATAAGTCAGTATTTACCTGCAGAGTGCCTTCAGTTGCTTTTGGTAGCATCCAAGTCAAAAGGGAATACAACAACAGGGGGCACAAAAGTAATCAGCAATTAGCCTGGGGAATTAGTGCATGTGCCCCAGGATATTGGGGAACCTCATGCCAGTCTGAAGTGACAGTAGTGGTAGTACAGTTTTAAACAGTCACACAGCGATCCACTATCTCGGGGTGAAGACATTCAGAGCAATTATTCTGTTGGGGGAAAAAAAAAATCTTTGTTGGAAAACTCACAGGCCTTAATTTTTGTTATAGATAAGGAAGGAAAGATGTTATCTATAAGTGTGCCTCAGGCTGTTCTCAGGTTCTCAGGGAATTAGGAAGGTTCCAGTGTAGAGGGGGAATAGCCTGTCTGTAGGTGTGCCTCAGGCAACATTCAGCTTTGTCAGAGAAAGAGCTAGAGGCAATAGTGGTAGAGCAATACCCACCTAGAAGCTGTAATCAAGTTGTGAAAAGCTCCCAGGCCACACTGCCATGCACGGAAACAAAGACATTTAACGTATAAAAAGATACAAAAGAAAGATTTCAAGAGATATTTTGAATGAGCATTGGGGCCAGTAGGAGGCGCTCACCCTGTGGTCTGTTTGGGTCCAAATGCCCCATATAGCGATGGTGACACTGTACTGTAAAAAGACGCCGTCCTTCGGTTAAAAAAACCTGGTCTGTTGTCATTAAAAATCACATTGTGTTTCTCAAAAGGAGTAGGGGTGTTACTCCAGCATCATGGCCAAATTTCCCATTGGCCCTTACCAATCATGGCCTCCTAATAATCCCCATCTACTGTATGAATTTGCTTCATCACTCTGTTCTCCTCCCCACTGATAGCTGGTGTGTGGTGAGCGTTCTGGTGCACTATGGCTGCCGTCACATCATCCAAATGAGTGCTGCACATTAATGGTGGTTAAGGGGAGTCCCCATTACCTATAACCTTCTTTGAGTAGGGGGTCCAGAAAAGTAATTTATCATTATTTTAAGTTTATCTCCACAAGGAAAGTAGCTGGGCATGCCATGTCATTAGTTTACTTTGTTATGAGACTTTGGTGCCTTTCTATCCTGCAACCACTCCTGGTTATGTCTTCACATGGATGGAGTAACCCTTACATTTTCTTACTGCCATAGTTAATTTGTTAAATATATTTAAAAGATGTTCTGTTGAGAATGTAGCCTTGAAATCACTGATTTGGGCAACTGATTTGCTTTTTAAGTATTTGAGTCACCTTACTCTTGTAATGCAACAGAAGTTGTGTTTACCTATGATAATGCAAAGCATTTCTACACTATTGTAATTTCCGACATGTGTGATGTCACTTATCTTATTGCAATAAATAGGAAGGTTATTCTTTCTTTTGTGCAGAACGTAAAGGGATGCCTGATGCTTGTGCGTCAGTATACTGTATAACACAAGGACAGAGGTTGGGGATGTGAGTGTCATTATTTAGAATTATGTTTTTCAGGTTATATGTCATTCTATCCAGCATGGAGGAATCCTTCAAGAATGAGTCGAGTAACTGTAGATTCTAAAAAAGAAAATAAAAAGCTTGTCTTTGTATTTCCTGTAAGAACATGCAATGTTTAGAACTTGCTTCCATTCACTTTGAAATAGGTGTGTTGTGAATTCCTTTGTAATTTTGTCAAAGCAGTGCTATCAACAGGTGAAGTGTACAAAGGTTAATGAGTGCAGGTCGTCCCCAGTGGCGTGGGAAAATGCAGTGCCATTCCTCCCCAGGCCATGCCTCTTTCTTCTTTCAGACATTCAGAAAAGACTCTCAAACACCTTCTTAACAGCATCCAAAACAAGGTCCTCCAATACTCTGTTATTTAAAACAAATCTTTCCATTTCATGTTATGATTAGAAACTGTGACTTTTTCAAGTTTTACCTTTATCACTCCATACGTCTGTACTTCACAGTATGAAATTGACCTGAGTATATAAAATACTAAAGGGTACAGACAAGTGAGCTAATCTGTTTAACACACAGTAAATCAAAGACAGACTTACGAAAGAAAACTAAAAAGGAATTAATTTAGAATGAAGAAAACTTTTCATTACACAAAGAGTTTTGGGAGTCTGGAACAGACATCCTTGTCAATTACCAACCAAACTATCAAAAAAAAACAAGATAAGCCAAAAGAAGTGCTTGCAATATTTCTTTTGAGAAGTGCCTCTTAAAACATCTGCTTGTGATTCGGGTTTTGGTATAAATGTTTGTTCCTATATTCATTACAGTTTAAAGATTTATTCCATGCTGAAAAGAGAAGAAAAGAAACACAACATTTTGGCTGTGGAGCCGTCTTCATGTGTCATTGTATCATTGTATTTTGGTGTTTTGTACCCTCAGGGGAAGATGGTAGACTGGCGTATGAGCAGCTGGACAAGGTCCCTAGAGAAATGGTACGGGTGGGCACACGTCGAGGGAACGCAGTTACCACAGCTTTTTGAAGAGCAAAGGACAGGCCTCAACCACAGAGTGAGCAGGGCTGTGGGAGGCCCTGACAGGCCTTCCTGTTGCACAGATAGAAACTAGAAAGGCTAAAGAGCCACAACAGCCCTACCAGTGTGGCTTCAAGATCCATTCACTGGCTGGGCTTTTCATTTGTGTATTTCCAGATAATTTTCAAGCCATCTCTTTGCATTAGTGCATTTTTAAACTCATTGTTTTAATTAAATTGGTCATTATTATTGTTATTATTGTTCATTGACCTCTTGGTTACGGGCCTGCCATTTTCTCACTGGGCCACTCTGCTGTTTCAGTTCACAAAGTAAGGTTGGCACTTTAAAGTTGCACTGTAGACAACAAGTACATACCTTACATTTTTATGTTTTTCTGGTACGTACTGTTCAGTTTCAGGGATATTTACAATGTTAACACTTTTATCACCATTTGCACATTGCATTAAAGTTTTCAGCAATTATCTTAAACAAAGGTTTCATCTTAAGATCTCTGTTAGGCTGTGTGAGAGAATTGGGCTGTTTAAAGTGTTTTCCAGGCTTTGTTTATTCACTCCTGTTGGAGTGTTTCTGTGCAGTTTTTTTTTTACAGAGAGGAAGGGGAGCAAAAATGAAAAATTTCAGCCTTTCTGTTTTGCTGGACAAACACTGGGACCACACACGCCTGACACACGCATACACTAATCCACTATTCAGCAATTATCAGGGACATTGACTGATGCTTGGGGCCATGTTTGCTGGGCTTTAGTAGGAGAAGAGGATTGCACTTTGCTTATATAAAAAGGAGGCACTGAAGAATGATTCCCGATCCAGATCTGAAGGAAGACTATAAGCATACAATGAACATTATTGCTTCTGTCCTGTTCTGCTCTAAAGCTGTCATCTCTTAAACAAAAGTCTTCTGGAGTTGCTGATGTTAACTAAAGCATTAATTGAAATTATTTATTTCTGTGCTCTCTGTATTTAACTTTAACTGGGTAGTTTATAGAGTTTTTCTATGTTATAATTCATGCTTTTCAGTTAAATTTAAGTATGAATGAGCTGTGAATGTGTGTTGTACTTCATGTTCTGCTCTGCTTATACATCAAAAGCTGGTTGTTTAGTAAAATAGTGACTACAGTTTCTCAGAGATTTCAGAGAGTCAAAAATGTACTTGGGTCATGTTCAATATCTTTCAAAAGTTTATCACCAGCATTTCATGATTCCTCTTTATCTCTTCAATTTTGTTTCCCTCTTAACTGCCGAAACTATAATAATGTATAACTCCAGATAATAAGTGAGAAACCTGTTGTTAAAGATGCTGTTGTTATTGGTAATTAAAATAGCCCATTTTAACCCTGGCTATTATACCTTATGGCTAACTATGAATATTTCCTAAAGTTTGATGCAGTCAATGCCAACAACCAGTAACTTCAAAACAAGCAAACAGTGAATTATATATACGAGAAGATGTATCTAAAAAATATGATTTGATTTGATTTTTATTTCATTGCCGTCGTCAAACTCCACAGGCTTTAACATTTACAGATTTTATTATTCAGTTTAGTCATGGGTCCATCACAAGGTTTTCCAATCCTGTTCCTTTATCTCTGTTTATCCGCTTACTCCTAAAACATCAATTAAACTAACATTCAATGTTCGACATTATTTTCTATTCTGAAAGGTTGCAGGTTTTAGATGTAACTACCAAATATCTTACAGTTTAAGAAATGAAAAAAATATAATAGATCAATCAAATTATTAGTTCAATTAAGGGCTCAATTAATTGGTAGCTCAGCAGACAGCATGGCCACTAGGAGTTAGGATTTGGAAACCCTGTTCAAGTCAGGGGGAACAACTCCAATCCTTGAGGTTTCTAGTGTATTTCTATCTGAGCCTGTAATCACCTGATCAAAATCATTATTTTAAGTCCACCCCTGTCCTTAATAAGCTGCAGATTTACACAAACCTATAAATCCTGGTGGAGCAACACTTTGAGACGAGAGCCACACCTTTCCCGATTGTAAGATAGAAATGCCCAGATTTTTTTCTGGCATTCATTAGTAGATACATGTGAAAATCTGGGGTGACTGAAATTGAGAGCAAAACTGAGTAATGCAGAAAGAAGGATCTGATATTTATTTTTCTGGTTTTGACACAGTTAAAGATAGAAGTGTGTTTTACTGAAAGAAAAACAATGCGACATCAGTAATGTTATCACTAACAGTGACAAATGTTTATGATTTTTCCTGTTTGTTAACTGGAAACAATCATTAGCAGAAGCTTGTGGCAAAACATAAATGTAATTTATCTACAAGGTAATTGAACTGGTCTTTTTGGAATTCTGGAAAACGTTTCCTGAAAGCATTAGTAGCAATTAGTATGAACCAAGAATCTTGTTTTGTGATAATCATAATCATAAAAACAATATTCATAAGGTGCTTGCAGATAATAAAACCTTTGAGTTTTCAAAATGAAATGTCCAGCACTAAGCAGAGCATCATTATCCTGAAAAAATAATAAAATACCCTGTGTTACACTTAAGTAGTAAGCATCAGTGACATCAAGGAGATCATTAAAGAGAGGAAATAATTTGACTCACTCCCCTGTTGTATTTGTCTGTAGTCCCAAAGTCAATACTAGGAACAACCACCTTCACTATACAGTAGAATAAAGGAGAACTGAGAATGTAACAAAACCATAGGTTACAGTTTTCAGTACCACCAAGATATGACTAGAAAACACTTCTTCAAGTATTCATTCAATTCAGTTCTATTAGAAAAGTTGTGTAAAAACTAGTTTGTTTCTCAAACATGAAGGGTATTCTGTTTTATTTTTCTTATGCACTGTGAATCGTAGTACTTTTTAGTTTTGTAAAAAAAAGTATTTGAGATAAAAATGGTTAATGTTTGTACGTGTTGAGCATCTGGATGCTTACCGTTGCTTCTTATAAAAACTCCACAGTTCCTTTGTACAGAAAGATTAAAGTGGCCTGTATCATAACTGTGTGGTATTGATTGTCCTTATTTTCCCATGTTTTTCTCCAGGTCTACAGTATCATTTTTCTCCTGTTTATTAAAAATGGTAATACATTTTATTTTTTTGTACAATTATCTTTTTTATCAAAAGGTGTGTGTCTTTTGAGAGTTTTATGCCTTGGTGTAACCTTTTACAGGGTCATGGTCAGCCAAAAACTAACCTGGTGGATGAGGGGTGTAGGGTATGTTGAGCTTTGGACAAGATGCCAGTCAATCACAGTGTACACATACATTAGAAAGGCAAATTAGCAATGTTACTTAACTAAGAATCCAAGTCTCTGAACGGTGGAAGGAAACCAGAGTGGCCACAAGGAGAACATGCAAACTCCATACAGAAGGAGCACAAGATGGGAATTGAACACATGAGCCAGGAGCCATGAACCAGCAGCTCTAACAGTTCTGCCCCACCTTAATATTGTCATTCAAGTTGCTATCAAATTCTTCTAAAAGGGATAAGGACAGGAGCCATCTGTCATTTTCCCCTACTACACGATCAACAGCACATGACCAGGAAGGCTAGTAGTCAAGGAATAACAAAGCTATCCGTCAGCTATGCATGTTTCTCTCCTTTGGCAAGGAAATTAATTCTCTCTTAACAACTGGGATCATTAACCCAGGCGATTAATCAAGCAAACAAAATTAAATCTATCAACACTTAAACTCACAGGGCAACTTTTCATTCAGAATTTCCTTGTAATCATGAAAATGGTTAACCTCTTGCCCAGGTGAAAAATTGCCTCCAGTTCCAGACACAGGAAATGCTACATTTTTTTCCCACAAGGTGTCTTCTCCTCCCGTGGGAATCCCAAAAGCAAAGCCACAGGCGAGGAACTGAGCACGCTCAAAGGAGCAGACCAGCCTTACAAAGACATTCCACTCTCAACCTGTTTAAGCTGATCAGTGGGGCTTGAGCGCGAGACACAATTCTGATACACAGGAATGCAGTGTTTGTTGGGAGGCCGTGGGAAATTGTTTTCTTTTTCAATTCAATTGTGTTCTTTAACAACAGGTTTGTGTGGTTATTGGCTGGTTTATATCCTTTTTTCTTCAATTACCATATTCTGAAGAAATATCAAACATCACACTTCCAGAGCAGAACTTTCCACAACTGTGAAATGGTCTCGATTGTTCTTGCTCAGCTAGATTAATTTACGGTAGAGAAAGAAAAAACAAGACATTTTGAAATTAATCTCAATGTTATAGTGTAGGTAATATAGGACTCATATCTAGAGAAATAGGCTCCGTATGGCTGTGATCTTTTACATTTCTGTTCTCTTTTGTTAATGAATGTTTAGGCATTTAGGCCTATGGCAGGGATGGGCAATTCTGGTCCTCAACACACAGAGTCCTGCTCATTTTGTAGGTTATTTTCGGACAATTGATTAAGACTAAAAAACAAGTAATCTAACTAACTCAAATAATTATTTCAATGTAGTTCTTTAGATCAGAAGAGAAATAAAATCAGAGAATCCTGACTGGAGTTATCATTTTCTGGTCTAAAGCACGATATTTTGACCACCTAACCATTATAAATATTTATAGTTATGTTTTGTTTGAGCTTAGGAGCTAAATAAGGGATAGGAAATGTTATGTTAAAAGGGGTTATTCGAGAGTCTGTCCTCCAGAGCGCAAGCAGAAAAGCATTCATCACCATTAAGTTCCTACCTCTTTCTGCACAAAACGTTTGTCATTTCACTTTTTTTCCAACCTTCAACACTTAGGCTCCCTTACATCCGTGGTTTGGGAATTATTTGAATCCATCTGATTTTTAGCTCACCATGTGCTGATATGAAAGACTGAGTCATATATTTCATATATTTTAAGTGAGCAAGACAATGCAGTTTCACTTGTCAGGAATACCTTCGTTCAGCGGGTATTGTGGAACATTTATTACACTCTCACAATGGAACTGAGTGTAAGGGGAAACATTGAACATAAATTACTTTTTTAAAGAATGTACTAACACTAATTTAGTGAGCTTTCATCAATTTCTTCAGTTATACTGCTGATTGGTTAGGATCTACAGTGCATACCCATGAATGGATGTCTTGTGTTTGTACATTTTTTTCTACACATGATTGTTTTTGTATTTATATATAAGATATTTACTCTGTCTCAACAGTATAAACCCATATAACAGTGATAAGTCTTCATTGCCCTAAAATCCAGATTATACAGGTAAATTTCTATTTACAGTGAATAATGTTACAAACAATTGAAGGTTAATACCATAATGATCTGTGGATCTCATCAAGTCACTTCTGCAAAGATTCAATGAAATCACTTTCAGTCCCATCATCTGTAAAAAAATTCTTCCCATTCTCAATGCACTCTCAGCTGAACTTCCATTTGTAAATTAGCATCTGCATGTGTCGTGAACACATGAAAGCAGTAGACATAACTCTCATTCAGTAGACTTATAGGGAATGCCTAAGTGCAATGGTTTAAGTTATTTCAAAGGATGAAGAAAGTGATATAAAAAATAAAATATTTACCTTCTAAAAAGTTCTAAAGTTCTTGATCAAACAGCAACAAAACAGTTTGATAGTTGGTGTTGTAATGGTTATGCTACAGTTTTAATAACAAAAAGGGAAGTTTATTGTGACTATGACTAGGACTAGGACCTCTCAGCTCTATATTGTGGGGGTTCCCATAGTACAAATTTTTAATTGAATGAGCAGCCATGGTCTCAAAAGAGAACAGACACAACATTTAAACCCACCAGGTTTATTTTCAAAACCAGAAGTGGTTCCAGAGAATGTTATAAAGAAGAAACTTAAAGGCATGAAAACTATTATAGGATCACACAGCTCAATATCTTGGAGATTTAAACCACAACGTAAACTGACAACAAATACTCAGTGATTAACTAAAATGCAGAGAAACAAGACTAAAACACCACCTTAAATTCGACAGGGAGCACTTTGCAGAGAAGAAAGCAAGCACAAAATAACCTTTAACATTAAGATGGGCTTTCCCCAATAAACAGTCAATAAAATGATCTCTTCCTCTTGGAACCAAGTGCCACTCAGCTGAAAGCTTGTTAACCAACAGTAGCTTGTCTGAGAGAAAGAAAACAAAAAAGAAATGCATTTGTTAATCTCATACAGCTGCAGTGTAACATCTTAACAAGTTTCCTGTCAACATACATCTAAACAAAAGAACAACATTTGTTAATAAAGAAATATGGTATTAAACCATACCAATTTTGATTATTTTAAGCATTTTAGCTTGAATCAGTCTATATACTGCAAATAAATGGCACTCTAATCACTAAATTAACTAATTAAATGCATTAAAACTAATTAAAATAGCCAATGATGCAAATGTGCTCAAAATCAGGTCTATGTAGACTGTACAACAAAATCCCTATACTTGCTCTTTGGTTCCTCATGTACTTAACAACCTCTCATCAGCAATCAGCACAGTCGACAGCAATTCAATCGGACTTGATAAGTAGACTGATTGACTAGACACTTGAGTACCACACAGTCAGAGGTGATACACAGGGTGTGGACCAGACCTCAACAAAAGGATAGAAGGAAAACAAAAGAAGGGAAAGAAACCACGACACACCATGACACTTGTCAGTTCACTTACAATAATAGCCCTATGAGTCACCATGCACCTTGTATATTGTGGTATCCCTCTGCTGATACCCATTAAACTCTTCCCTGCTTGAGACAGCCATGTCTTCAAGGCTGCAACAAAACATCAATCTCTGAATCAAGCAGATAACTGACCTTTGGTGGAATATTTGGACCTACTTACAACTGGAAGTTCAAGATCATAACACGGTACCCCATTATGCAGGACCTGGCACAGATAAAAACACTGGCAAAAGCATGATCCAATTTTCTCTAGTTGGAGCAGGAACTAACTCAATATTCTTTATACTAGGGACATAGCATGGGCGAATAAGGATATAACATCTGTTCCCTTATACATACATACACAACACATACAGTGCTAGCACACTGCCACATAGAGCATAGGGTCTCACTTACCAGCCCAATTGCCTTGGTCCTTTTCTTATAATCACTGCAGGTGTTCCTTTATATTTCCATGTGTTTTCTAACCATTTCAGGATTCTAGTTCAGGTTCGTGGGGGAGCCGCAGACTATCCCAGTAAGCAATGAGTTCCAGGCTGTGCACACCTTGGATGGCATGCCAATCCATCGCAGGGCAGTTACAGACGCACACACTCACAACAGGGGTAATTTTAGCAGTAAATCTTCCTAGGCTTAGCAATATTGGACTGTGGGATGAAACTGGAGGACCGAGAGGAAACCAACACAAACACAAAACCTACCAACTCCATGCAAATAGCACCCCAGGTCTGGAACTGAACCCAGGGCCCCCGTGCTGCAAAGCAGTGAAGAATGAAGAGATAAGAGAGATGCCCGGGAAGTGAGATATTATCATTTTCTTATTTTTGTATGTTTTTGCAAACTATGCAGTCTATTGGCTTGAAGTAGGCTTTGTGTTCAAATATATATAAAGATGCTGCCTGTCCTTGGCCAGTAAGATAAGGGGCATGTATTTGGTAAGCTGGCTATACACCCAGAACATGAAAAGAACTAACTGCTAACTAGTCTGCAACTTAGATATAATTAATTGGCAGGTGTTGCTGTTTTATCATTTGTTTAGAATATGTCATAGTAACTCTTTGTGTTTTAAGGTATAAAGGACCATCTTCAGCTACTTATTTTTTAAGTCTGGTGGTTGCAAGCCAGACTTCCATATGCATATGAATAAAGAGACTTCTGCTTCACAGACACCTGAACTTTGTCATTTGTTTGACACTACAGCAGCAATGCTAACTACAGAGCTGCCATGCCACCCTGGAATTCATACACAAATTCAAAAAAATGAATATCTCAAAAACATATTTAACATGTAAAATATAGCTTGTTTTCTTTACACCCACCATTGCTAACCACAACAAGACAAGATAAGGGATTACTCTTTTGTATGACTTTGGCTCTTGAAGACAGGGCAACCTCTTCATAATGGTTCAAGTGGGAATCTGCATCTGGGAGCAGACTGAAAAAGACATGTCTAATAACTCACATTCCTGTTGTTTGGCTCTTGTGGTTCCTCCTTGTCTGTCCAGAGTCATTTATCAGGTGCCCTGTCTGTTTGTCCCACTATTCTTTCTGGAAGGGGGTTAAAATTATTCTGTCCTTATATGATGCATTAATTCAGTTATCTCTGTCACATTTTAGTTCTGGTCTTTGACACCTGAGTGAAGGACTTTGTGGGAATGGCATTTGGCACACCCTTTGTGACTGAGTTACACCGCAGACATTTTTACACAGGTATTTGCCTTTGGGGCTATCTATTTGCTTTCTTGTCATTTCCCTGTCACTGAAATGCAGGGCCCCACAACTGTCTCTCTGATATCTTCTGAAATGTCATGTACAGTGATCTAAGATTACAAGACTAGGCTAATAGACTTAAGAAGCTACACTGTCCCTGTAGGTCTTATGATTCACCTGTGTGTTGACAAGTGATTGTTTTGGATATTTGCAAACTATATTAATAAACTTGCATTTTCTGCAGCATAAAAGTTTTAAAAAGTATTATAATTCACACAGAAAACAAAATAATCATGGATTCAAATAGAAATACCCCTGAACAAGAGCAGTCATCTAGTTAATTGATGTAACACATCAATTTCCCTACGGGATTAATAAAGTCTTATCTTATCTAATTAATTAATTGCTTACACTTATAAAGTGCTTTTCTGGATACTCCACTCAAAACGCTTTACAGGTAATAGGGACTCCCCTCCACCACCACCAATGTAAAGCATCCACCTGGATGATGCGACGCTCACCACACATCAGCTATCAGTGAGGAGGAGAGCAGAGTAATGAAGCCAATTCATAGACAGGGGTTATTAGGAGTCCATGATTAGTGAGGGCCAATGGGAAATTTGGCCAGGAGGCCAAATAGGTAGGGTTACACCCCTACTCTTTTTGAGAAACGCCCTGGGATTTTTAATGACCACAGAGAGTCAGAACCTCAGTTTTACGTCTCATCTGAAGGACGGCGCCTGTTTACATTGTAGTGTCCCCGTCACTATACTGGGGCATTAGGACCCACACAGACCACAGGGTGAGCGCCCCCTGCTGGCCCCCACTAACACCTCTTCCAGCAGCAACCTTAGTTTTTCCCAGGAGGTCTCCCATCCAGGTACTGACCAGGCCCACACCTGCTTAGCTTCAGTGGGTTGCTAGTTGTGAGTTGCAGAGTGATATGGCTGCTGGCCATTAGTTAGAATAATTAATTAGGCCATTAGTTAGAATAAGTACTACTGTCAGGTGTTTAAAACAATCAAGACCATTCAAATATAATACTTAGATGTCAATGTGAATTGAATTATGTAGGAAGGTAGATTTAATACAAGGTTCTCCAACATTTGTCGTGGAGTGGTCGTATCCAGCATGTCTTATGTACAACCCTAAATGACCCGTTTCTTAAAATTGGGAACACTTGCAAGAAAATAAGAAAATAATTTGTTCTGTTAGGGGAACTATGGACCATGATGATTGAAAAGCACCCACAGTTAATTTAATCAACCTTTAATCATGGATAAAGCTTAAAGTTTTAGGAAGTTGTGGTTTAATGGGCACCAAAGAATGTTTTGTACTGTGGCTCTCCATGACCTGGGCTGGAGATCCCTTTAGAGTATTATGATTAAAGTATTTCAGCAATAATAGAATACATTCCCATATAGCTAAAAATGAAAGAAAGGGGGACTTCATACTCTGTGAAGTCCTCCAAAAATTGCATTGATAGAATGAATCACATTAGATGTAGACTAAGTTTATTCTTGGTCCAAGAACAGACCAGGGTACTGAAGGTGGTCACCAGCTTCTGCGCTCTTGGGTTTTTGACATCCAGGCTCTGTCATTTTGCTCTAACATAAGGGATCCCAATATTGGTCTTGGGGACCCACATGTCTGCTGGTTTGTGTTCCTCCATTAAATAACTGAGCCCTAAAGTGACCTCAATGAATTTACATTGCACTCTTTTTGTCCAGTTCCTACACAAAGCAGGTTGCTTTTTAACTATTCTGTTTCTGAAGTACTTTAAAATCTCCAACCTTTGAGTAGAAAAATAATTTGCCAAGGGTCTAACCAAAGTAACTTGCTGGTTCATTAAAGTAATGAAAGCCCTACTCTAACATTCTCTAGACCTTGTGATGTCACAGTCCAAGTTATGACTCATGGGGCATAAGAATTTCTGTCTCTCATGATTTTTCTGATTTCCGATATCCAGCTTCTGCTAAACAACTGAACCTTGAATTTCTAGCTGCCATGTTTCAGCGTCTGGCTTTATTTTATGAGACACACATCAAACCCCATCTGTTTCCCAGTGAGGACCTGTCAGACATGGGGAGTGAGAATCTTCACCACAGAAAGATCAGGCTTGCTGGCCGGGACATTCAGAACACCAGCCTACCCCTGAAGAAAAGAGTACAGGCAGCCTCCTATATTGGGCTACTGGCCTACACAGGTACCTTAATCCTCCTTCTATAATTAATGCTTTGTCTTCTACTCGAGCAAAAAAAAAAACCTACTTATCTACAGGACTTTTCTTGCCATCAATCCCTTTAAGTGCTGTGATTTACACATAAAGCAGGGTTATTAACCCCATCTCCTTATAGCAGGTTACCCAACATGTTTCGGTTGTCTTAAATGGACCAACTACTGAAGGACTTCAAATTAAAAATCAGTAAGGGGATCCCATCATTTTTAGCCAAGGTTTCACATAGGTTGGTGTTTTACTACTGGAGTTACAAAAAGTGTACAGTTTATTAAAGTGCTCTTTTCATAATTTTAAAACACTAGCTGGCATATTCTTATCGATAAATCTGAGCTATAACTAAGTCATATTGTTAATTTTAAAGATTTTGTGTTTTCAAATTAATAAGGTTTCTGTTGATTAAGTATTTAACTTTATCATTGCAGTCTTATGTGTTCTGATGAAATTAAATTATGGGAGTTCAGCTCTTCCTAGTTTTCAGAACACTAACAATACCTAGATGAAGAAAAACATCATTTGCTGGTGGTGGTTTTTAAAATTTGTTTCACATTTAAAAAATAAGGAAAACGATACAGATACAACACACAAGAAGCAACTAAAAGACAACTAAAAAAAATGCCCTTTGAGTATAAAAATAATCTAGGCAAGTGCCAATCCTTAAGAACATCTTCCGCAAGGCAAGTCAGTTTTTATTAAAAAACAAATTTTTGCTGTACTTCATGACTGAAGACACTTGTGTCACAAGGGCACCAAGGACTGAAAGCCTGGGTTGACTAATCCCTCTCAGCCATCTGAGTACCACGGTTTGGGGAATCCCAGTCACACACTGTTGGACATCAGCCAGGCACATATCTGTGATAATGGAGCTCAACCTGTACTTTACCACTTGAACACTCAAAGAGAGCCCAGGTAAAGGTTTTAAAAGTAATCTTTCAGGCACCAGTTTAATTTTAAAAAGCGCAGAAAGCCCATAAATACATTGTATAAAAACTTAGAACCATAACCAGCACCAAGTGCTTGATATTTCAATGGGCCCAAGCAGTAAGCAAAAACAAAATGTATCCAATTCTACCACCCACTTCCATTCAAAGATCTAATTGGATATACTGTACTTTGCTAGAGAGCCTTGTTTTCTTTCTACACTAGGGGAGCCTACAAGCACTTTGTCTTTAGTGATCCGTCTCAAACATAAGAACTAGGATTTTTTTTAAATCATGCTTAAGATAAGGTTCTTCTCCTCTAGTTAAACTAATGGAATGATGATCATTGGTAGATAAAAGCCAATACATTTATGAACATTCCTGTGGTACTTCAGTGTAAAATGTTTAATCCTCCATCAAGCATATTCCTGCCAGCAAACCAGTGAAAACAATTAGATCTTAGCACATCTACAGTGTTTCAATAGCCTTGGAAATGTTTGTCCACCAAGCATTTGGCAGAACTAGTATAACTTGAAAATCTAAAACCACGCTTTCCAACATCCACAGGCTCAGGCTTTCGATATAGGAACAATAAAATTACAATGTACCTACCACAAAAGAAAATAAATGTCAAGATGGAACCAGCAAACAAAAGCCAATCTGTGTTGCCATCAAACAAAATGCGAAACACTTTTGCACTCATCTTGGATCACATTGGCGATGTGAAGAAGAGCACTGTTTTTTCCACACAGGATGACAGACTTTTTCGTGCCACTTTCAGGTGGCTACGCGGCTGGGACATGCGCTGGAGAGTTCATGGCTAGCCTCATTGGCTTTCTAAAGCATCCTGCCATCATGGACAAAGGCATCATGACAGTTCTGCAGAGTCTGAGTGGCATTTGCTACATACACCTTCACAACCAGAAAAGGGCAAAGGACCTGGAACTCGTCGACATTCTCCTGAACATCCTGCATATGAAGGAAGCCACCCTCTTACTAAACAAGTCCACCCAAGTGAAGTTCTGGAGCTGCTACTTGTTGAGTGTTCTCTGCTGCAACAACATCCCCATTATCAAAACACTAAATAACTCAGAGAGACTACAGAGAGACCTGGAGATCTTGGCACACAAGGGGTGGTATGGCTGGCCCAATAACTACGCCAAGGAATTGCTCCAGCTCCTGGGATATGCAAGGCCCAAGCACTGACTAGTATACTGCCAACGTCACAAGCAATACTCCGTAAAATTGAAATTCATACAAGGTTAAGGTGTGCTTTAGTAAAAGCTTTCATACAAAGATTTTCCATTATTAACTGATCCTCCCAAACCTGAATACTAACCATGTTTTATCATTTAAGACTACTAAAAATTGTGAAGTACAGTTTCAATACCAATTCATGAAGATGTCAATAGAATAACTTGTCATCACTTTCACTCCTCAACTAAACAAAAATCAAAACAGCCACTTAAATTAAATTCAGTTTATTAAAATGTACAAGTGAAATACCTTTTAGGTAACTATGTACAGATCACATGCATTAAAACTGCACAAAGATTTTACATCAACAGCTGGTCAAACCCAAATTATATAATGGACTTTAATAACCATTTACATCCAGGTCCCCAGTGTCAAACTGAGCCGATACCTCCCCAATTTGTGCAAGACAAGAAACCAGTCTTGATTCCGCAGGGAGAACAATTCAACCCGTCTTGATAAAAGCATGGAACCACTCATCCTTTAACAACAACCCTTTTTTGGGTTCTATATCCAAAACGGGTAATGGCCAAAAACTAAGCTACCTATAGGCCAGACAAAATAAAAATAATGGAAGCTTCGTAGTAGTTTGGGGAGGGGGGGGGAATTCCCTTACACAAGGCAGTGTGAGCAAATTACAGGAACAATCAGGAGTGAGCTTGTTCAGGCAGAATCTCACCATAGGAACAATTTAAATATGTACTGCATGAGGAGTCTTTTGTTGCACTTTGGTTCCCATTTTAAAAAAAGTTAAATTTGGTTAACAGAATCAGACACTGATGCAGCAGGTTCCTCATAGTCCTCTTCCAAAAACTCCTCTTCCTCACTGCTCAAGTCTTCATCTTGATCCTCTTCTTGTTCTTCCAAGTCCAGGTCTCTCACAGCTTCAATACTATCCGGACTCTTTCCAGTTAACCTCTGAAAATAGTTTTTTTTAAACTGTCAAGTTCTTGCTGGAGATCCCAGATTATGATGCTGTATATCACAAGTCACTTAAAATATACAGAACCAATTAAATTCATAAAGCATACAACAGTTCAAGAAACTTTCTGCTCTGGCCAATATATGGAGGAAGGCAAAAACTGTTTTCTGGAAAGTGCTTGGAATGTATTAAGTAACACTCAAAATAAGAATGCACAAGACATTCATCCAACTCTTATGAGAATTACTGAATGCAGAAGACTAATTTACCCCCTAATCATACATGCAAGCCAAGCTTTCATAAAGTAAAACAAGAACTGGGAGTATACTTCAAGGATGCCTAATCCTCTATTGGAGGGGAAAACAAAAGTATTATCTTCATTATATTTGCTCTTACCTCAATCATATCTGCCATGTACTGAACATGTTGTGCAAGTTCCTGAAGTTCTTCATTTTCTTGCCTTAATTGGGTGACCTGCTCATCTCTGGATTCAATCTCCCTGTGCAACTGTTTGGGAGGGAGAAAAAGTCAATGGGAAAAACTACATTATTATGTAGCTTCTCATCTAAATTTAATCATGGTATTAGTTATTGGTGTCGATTTCAGTTGTGCCTTGGTTTTCACCACTTCAGTTTGTCATTTTCTTACAGAACAGCAATGAATGTTTAAGGTGGATCTCTTTGTAGTAACTGTTAATTATAACAGATATGAATAACATTAAGGGCTGGACAGTTTCTGCTCTTAACATATGGAGTTTAAAATTAACTTACTGATGTTGAGGCACAGAAATTATCTACCATTTGTACAGCAAATTGAATCAATCTTTAAGAAGTATGCATGCATTATAGAAGTAAAGGTTTTGAGACAAAACCCTTGCTTTACATTGCATGTTGACATCTTTGAATTTCCAAAATGCCACTTGTGTGGGACAAAAGTTAAGGGAATGCAGCAAGTAATGGCTAAACATTACTCTACTTTTAGGGATTAACCAACCTTTTCATTTTCTTGAAGAACATTATAGAGTGCTTTCCTCCTTTCTTCGGCAACCTCTTTCCAGTAGGCAGATGGTGGGATTTCTGTTTCAACAAAACGTATATATTAATGTAAAACAGCAATTTGTAAAGCGCGTGTTCCTACCATTTTGTTATTATTTAATAGACGTGGATGGAATAGTATAGTTAGTAGTTCCAGAGTGAGCCACAAGGAACAGAAACTTACAAGCCATTTAAAAGGAATAATTCTATTAATGTACAGCTTTACATTTAATGCAGAATGCATGTAGCAGTCTAGAGTTTGTTATCAAATACATGACTAGTAGAAGAAAAACCACAAAGGTTTTCAAAATATATTCAAACTAGCCGGGACAAATAAATACCTTTGACCATAAGCTCATATGCCTCCTTTGTCATTTCCTCAGACGTGTTCTTGTTTTCACTGCCCTCCGTGTAAACTTTGACTTCTGCCTTCACCCTCTTTGATCCCTTTTGTTGCTCAGCAATCCACAGTTTTCTCTTTGAGAATGACTTAACTGGCTAAAAAAACAAAAACAAAAAAAAAAACCACCACAAGACAAATCTTTAGACACAGGAATGATAAAAAAATGCTTTAATGGAACACATCTACCAAAAGTAAACATTTATGATACAACAAGGGTTCTATGAAGCCAGTTAACATTAACCTCCATACTGAAAATACTCAATACAATGTACTTGCAAATTAGTCACCAAAAATTCTGTACCTCTCCTGCTCTGCCAACCAGATGCCCAGTTGTTGCAGAGGGCTGAAGGACCTGCAGTGTTCGCCTCACAGTTGATCCACTCTGAACCCCACTATTGCAAAAGCTCTGGGGGGAGGGGGGGGGAAAGGTAGATTATGAAGACGCAAATTAACCAAAGAAATTTTAAGGGTGTAATCTGTACTCATGCAAATGAACAGAACAGCACACAAGTTAGAGGGGGGGGGGTAAAAAATAATGCAAATAGAACATCTTGGCAACAGATCAGGCCAAAGTGGTACTTGCGGGAATGAACAGTTTAATCAGTATACCTAACCTCATTTACAAAAGCTTAACTTCATTGTTTCCTTCTAATCATTAGTTACACTGTGACCATGGGATAGCAAATAAGAGCAGGTAAACATTGTGGGTCTGACCAGCCCTGCATGTCTGACTGCATTACCAGCGTGGGAAAGGAGCAGGTTTACCTTGCACTCTGTGAGGCAATTCTGCTTCATTCCCATGGGTAGCTATTACTGTTTCACAGATAATTATCTTACTGCTACATTCTTGAACAAAAATACCGTGGGAACTGGCTTCAGAAATAGACAATTCAGAGCTGGAGTTATTTAATGTTTTTCACTTGGGGACAATAGTGCAGGCTACAGTAGTCAAGTTACAAAACAGGAATGCATGATAGTGCTTAGAAAAGAGGCTGTGTGTGAAGAAAGGTGAGAACTGTCACTTTCACTACATGAAAAATGTGGTTCTCATTTAACCACTGATCAGGAAGAATAGTCACAAATATAAAATGTCACAAGGGGCTCTCAACTAGGTCTGGGCAATGTATTGAAAATTTAATTGATACCAACATTAAGAATCTCTCAGTGACCTAATTTGCTTATACAGGTTGGTATGTACGGTAAAAGCTTTCCCCACTGTGTGCTTAATGAGCGGTCCCCTTAAAAAACAACACCAAGTCATCATATCCAGTCACATGCTTCTGCCTTGTCCAACCTTCGTTCTTCATTCAAAACACAAAGAAGCATGCTGGGCATGAGACAACACGAGTGCTCATATAACGTAATAATAATGTTTCTTTATTAGCCCTATACAATTTCTTGTATTAGGAATGCGTCTTTTCGCATACCCCAGCTTTTCTCCAGGGAGACACAGACACAGAGACAGGGAGAGAAGCTTGGGGTCAGAGCGCAGGGTCTGCCATTGCACGGCGCCCCTGGAGCAGTTGGGGTTAAGGGCCTTGCTCAGGGGCCCAACGGAGTAGGATTCCTCTGCCGGCCGCGGGATTTGAACCGGCAACCTTCCGGTCACAGGCGCAGATCCTTAGCCACAGAGCCACCGCTCCGCCCGTGCTAAACCCCAGTCAGACAGGCAGGCAGGGATGACCCAAGTACAAAAGACGACAAGCAGGTATCTAAAAAAAGATGCAGTGTTGATTGTTTGGTCATATTTTGGCTTCAGCAAACAGGATACTGAACAAAGAGAAGTCAGATGTAAACTGTCGGGAAAGACATTTTTTGCGCCCATAAGTAACACGCGCAACTTCTTTCATCACTTGAAACACTACCATGAATACGAAAACTGCATGTCCAAAAAAAGGGGAGTCTGAAAAGCGCACTCATAGCTGAAGTGATTCTCCCAAACAGCTGACTAACACAAGCATTTACTAATGCCACTCAATATGCAAAAATGTAACAAAAAAACTAATGGCATTACATACTACATAGCAAAGGACATGGTCCCCATTGCTAAAGTGGGGCACAATGGTTTCAAAAGACTCCTTGACAAGAGACAAGTTGTGCCCTTGAGAAAATCTTTTGCTCAAATTGTGGTGAAATGGTTAGTCATATATCTGCTGAAGGAAGGGGGAGCAGCAAATGCTACACATTTTCACCTAAAAAAGGCAGTCAGTGCATAGAAATTTAAAGTTAATTAGAAGACCAAAGTTTGCATGTGACAATCTAAAATTATACATCATATGCAAGTCCATCATTGATTAACCAAATATGCTTTGAGATTTTTTTTCTGAAATAGTACAATGTCAATAAGTTTGTATACTTAGAAAGAGGTTAATATTACACTACATTGTAGATATTTGTGGGGGGCAGAGGGGGAGGTATTCCCTGTTAAAGTGCTACTCGATTAACATATACATCCACACAAACTTAACACTAACAGGAGACACGACAAACTTATGTTATACTGACAATCAGCACAAATCTCACTATCTACGGTATTTTGGAGCCCTGTGCTACAATTCCCGAGGAACAGACTCTATACCCAACAAAAAGAAAGTATGCAAATGCCAGGGTCAGGATGAACTGACCAGGGGTATTGTCCCTTCTTGATGCTATGCATGAGCCAAATGTTTCTCCCTCAATTTGACACTGAACCTCCAGTACACCACTGTAGAACTTGTCCAGCTTTTTTTGGCTAAAGTTCCATTCTCCCTACATGGGTACAGGAGTCACAGTCTCAGCTCATTCTTACAATTGGATGTTACAAAATGATCAGGTCCAAGACCTGCTGCTTTTGGATGAGGGGCAGTGTGTGCATGTGTAGAAGATTAAAATTAACTTCTTAAGAACACAGATACTGCTCAATCAAACAACTCCTCCACTCCCACCTTCAGAAACAGAAACACTACAGATTATTTTCACATCAGGCAAGTCCCATAATAAAAAATATAAAATAGATCTGCAGAAGACCATTACAGCTTAGTATAGACTTTTAGTCTAGAGAGTCCTTATATACATTATTTTTTTGGAAACTACAAGCCACAGTGCTCTATTTTTAATTCATGGGGGATCAGAGAAGGCTTTGTACCAAACTGAAATCTTACCTTTGTGTTCCCGATCTGTCTCATTTCCGAATTCATTATCTACAAACCTTAAAAATAAAAAAAAATAAGGCTGGACTGAATAAAAAAAGAGGGTTGATCATGTTAGAACATCTAGAATATTGCAAGGGTATAGATTCCCTTATAACTACACGTTTAGTTTTTTCCCCGTAACTGGGAAGGGAAAACATTTACATAAATAAGCCTGGTATAGTTTAAACTATTTATATGGATCATTATAAATTACCATAGCAAGCCAAATAAAACACCTATAGAGCAAAGCATTAGACATTTAATCATGCATCATCCGCTTTATAAAGTTCACTTTATACGTTAAGGATTACATAGGACAAAGCTGACAAATACGAGTAAGATATTATGCATTTATTTTAGACACGTTTCATGTTGCCATCCGTTTAACCGCGCAGCCCGAGGTCTTTGTGTGAACTTTCAAGGCGCCTGAACAGGAGCCTGGCTCTCCCACAATTCCCAGGGAACACTAACCGCCTGGGAAAACAGCCGCCAAAACTCGGGACGGAAGCAAAGGCCCGTGAAAGGACAGTTTCCAAACTCCAGTAAGAAAATAAAACTGAAAACACTATTAGAACTAATATTCGCTTCGAGGCTTAAAAGGCACAATAATACAGTTAATAGCACATTTCATCCTTGCGTGTAGAGCTTTTACACAAAGAGAAAACACGAAGTATTCTTTACAGAGGTTTCCTAAATGAACGAGGTCAGTTTAAGCCTGAATCCCAAGATATTCAGATACGACTTGTTCTTAAACTCAAAATATCTGCTTCATTAGTCGCAAACCACTACGTGAACCTTTACAGCCCATTGCCTAGCACACCCTGCAAGTAACTAGGTCGCATTACCACTAGGACGTAGTACAGACTGTAAAGCGCTGAAGACTTACTCTCATATACCGCTTATAAAAATACACTATTTGAAAAATAAATAATTGCAATCAAATCATCATCACATTACCTTAATTACAAGAAAACAAGCACACACGCTCCTCCACACAGCTCAAACTCAATAAACTAGGCTCGCGCGTTTGGCTTTAATACTCAGTTGGTCACGTGTCCTCGGTTCTCATCAGCGGCCCGCGCGGAAAGTCTTCCTAGACTTTTTTTAAGGTGGAACCGCTCACTGATAATCCCAGAAAGCCTTGATACACGAAGAGTAAATTATATTAATTATAAAAACTCATATTTTACCTCACTCTTAACAAGAACCACTGAACTCTCTTTTTTAACATTGTAAATGCGATAGTCTTATAGAAAATGCTACTGTCAACTCTACAAATAATATATTAAAATGGCAGTAGTTCATATAAACAGATCGCCGCTTCCTGGACCTCAGTGTAGGACCTGCAATAAATCTGATTTTAATGCACCACGTACATGTCTTGTAGGATTGTATAGTAATAAGCTGTTTTACATAACGAGATTAAACGTTTTGCAGATGCTGCTTCTTTTATAACATTTTTCCTTTGGTTTCTTTAAAGACAAATGATGGCAAATAACTTCTAATAGTCATAATGTGTTTAGATTAACATTAATTTATTAGCGCTCTTCGATCCTTTACACTAAATATATTCTATCTGATCACTTACAATGATTACATCCGTTACACACTAATTTAATTTTCTGTAATATTTATGAAATACTTCATCAGCAGCACCCATTTTCCTGTAAAACATATTCCATTGTGCTTTGTTTAGTGGTTTACCTGACAAAACTGAACTTTTTCCCGCAAAAAGTTTTTAAAGGCTTTATATCATAATCTACATATTGGTGATTTGAACTTCATTGAAAACTTTCATCAACTGCAGTTTATGATAGTATATAAATCACCTGTTATGAAAATATACCGTGATACATCACGGTAAAAGCAGAGCGTAAGTGTTGTTTATTAAAACATTTTTTAAACCATGGGGAAGCATATAGGCCTACATATAGTAGAGAATGGCAAATCCGGTATACATTAATAATGGGTGGTGCGCTCTTTATTGTGGAGACTGTTACATTCATATAACACAGAACAATTAAAAGTCTGAGCTATCGTGGGAACTCACGTGTACGAGCTCTTACTTCAAGCAATGGTTGCTTGTCAGCAGTTAGACGCAACAGACAGGATTACAGCATCAAAGGCGGCGACGGGAGCTGTGATAAAGTAAGATAATGCTGTGATACCCTTTGAAATTAGATAATTGTTAATCGCAGACTTTGTTATACGGTACTAAACGAATCAGTTTCAAAATAATTTCACGTAATACGGTGCGTAACTTGTAGAAATTACATGCAACCCTGTAATATGACGTTTCTGTACTCGTTTTGCCGAAACTTAACTGTTACAGTAAGAACATACAGACTGATATATTATCAATAGAATTATGCCAAATAGGTTGTGCAGTCATATGAAGAGCGGTTACTAACAACTGCTGTGACTTTTTTAGATACTGTAAAATGGAAATATGAATAAACCATTAAAAGCACACAGATCCCTATCAAAGCCCCGCTTGGAGTTGTGTTTCAGTGCTTTATTTAATCAGTGGAATGAGACACGCATTAACTCAATATACAGAAATGAAAGACTATACAATAAGTGGTTCTGAATTTTGCTTATTGTAATTATGCAAGCCATAGGTGTTAAATACAGAATTAATAATTGTATAATTAAACACATTATATTGTAGTTCAGGTGGGTAGCTGCGTCAGCATGCGTAGGCTGCAAAGGAACAATAGGTTCACTCCATGCTGAAAAGAGAAGAAAGAAAACACAACGTTTCAGCCGTGGAGCCATCTTCAGGCGTTAACATACATCTACATTATATTGTAGATGTATGTTAACGTCGATTTTTCTATTATTTGGTGTCCAAGAGGTCGATTCACTGTGAATTTGTGGAATATACAGATAGCCCATTTTCATTCCTTGTTCTCTTTCCAAACTCCCACAACCCCTTGCGTGAAGAAAACTTCCCCTCAAGTCCCATTCTATCACTAACTTTGTTACAAAAAAACTTTCACCTGTGTTGTAGCGCCGCCAAGCTACCATAGCTAGAGCAACCAGATAAAGGATTTTATAACTACCGTTGTACCTGGAGAAACAGAGCAATTGTCACCTCTAGCACAATTACAGTGGGTCGGTTTTCATATTTTCCTCGAAGATACTGTAAAACCGTTTGTGATGAAATGAGAGACTTGAGATTCCGTATAAGAGTAGATCATTAATTTTGCCCGTTATGTCTGACCATGTCTATAGAGCACACTCGTATCTGCCATATCTGTAGCAGCGTCTATTCTGGTATTTACGGTTGTTGGTCTTCTTTCACGTTAACTCCGGGACACCCCCCTCTTCCGTAAAATGTTATACTTTAAAATATTTTTGATTGAGATATTTTGCAACGAAACACAAAAATTGCATTATTTAAAGAGCTAAAGTAATTATAGAAATGAAACTCGTCCCATGTTTTAAAACAAACCACATTTAAGTAGTCATGGTGCATGACGTTTTTCAGCCATTTTGGGTTGTTCGTTTCGCAGAGGGCACTTATTATTTTAGACCAAGGGGGATCGCGGGGCCTAAGACACGGATTAATCGAGCAAACATCATTTTATACATTAATTGTTGAATATGGGTCCACCAGGGAGCAAACCGCGCCGTGTATCGTTTGAAAGAATGGAGGATTTCGGCTGGTTTGTCAATTTATCTTGACATGGCTTGTTGGTGGGTGGAGGCTGACGAGTGAAAAAAAAAAACAAAAACACGCAAGTTAGAACTATTTATAAAAAAGAAAGCGAGAGAAAAGATAAAAAATCGAATAGCCTTTTGTGATGTTAATCTAAGAACGAAATGAAGAGGGAGGGTATAAAGCGCGTAAAAATGGCGAAATATTAAAGTCGGTTTAATAATGTCATAATACGCGCTCGAACCTTCATCCGAAGAGCCGCCGCTGACGGAGGATGTAGGAGAAACTAAGTGCAGCTTTACTGGCAGGACGCGATTCAGCCGAGCAACGTAGGTAAGATGTAGTAGTATCGTCTGTATAGCAGGCTCCTTGAAAACACAGAACGCCGTCATTATGAGCACGGCTGCTGGGCCAGTGCTAATGCCAGTGAGCTCCGATATGACTTCTCCGTTTTTTTCTGTTGCGTCTGGAGCCATCGTTTCCTGGCATCTGCGTTTCCCTGCCGCGATCCGCTGTACCCCATATCCCTTAACAACGCGTTCATAAACCTAAGTATCTCTACAAAAAAAAAAACAGAAAACACCAGTCATGAATGAGGCTGGGAGAAGACAAATTTAAAAGTGTACTTTTTATATTTCTGTAGCGATTTGTGTCGGCATGGGTTTGATAGCATCCTTTCGGTTCGTGTCAGTTGCGTTTTGTGTAGAAGTGTACTACATCTTAATTTGATTTATTTTCTTTCGATTAGTTAAACTCGCCGTTTTTATTCGGACCCTTTTGTGAAACTGAGTGGCTGAATTTGTTTTCGTATATTTAAAGCATAACTAGCGTGATTCACATAAGTCATCAATATGATTTCTTAAAAATAATTAGCTGTATTTAATTAATACCCCCTCCCTCCCACACCTTTTCATCAACACTGGGGAAAATGACTTAAGTTATTTAAAATCTTATCTTTTAGTAGATCTAGAGTAGAACTTCCACTTAGCTTAGACGCCTTTACTTTTAACTAGTTTCCAAGAAGGGAACTTGGCATATCATGCCCCTAGTTATAAAATATTAAGGAAAGCCACCATCAGTAAGTCGCAATGGGGGACCCAAACTCACGGAGAAAACAAACCATGAACCGACTTCGTGCTCAGCTTAGGAAAAAAAAGGAATCTTTAGCTGACCAGTTCGATTTCAAGATGTACATCGCATTTGTGTTTAAAGAAAAGGTGAGTGTGATGTATAAAATATACATTATCAAGTTTATATTCTTTAATGCAGGAATCTCCCAATTCCAAATGTCGATGATTGTGATTTGGTTTTCCTGTCTCTCAAATCCTGTTTTCCTGTCTTTGGGAGATACCTAAATTTAGTACAGTTAACACTGAGTTGATAATGATTCAAAGAGACACAGAAAACCTGGAGTGCTATCCACCAAACTAGGATTGGATACTCTTAATTGTGTGTTATGTTTAAGTTCTTTAATATTGTGGAAGTAACATTTGAATTGCTTTTGGGCAACAGTGAGAGCTGTCTTCAGGGGTCCTGCTGAGCTACATACATTGGTATATATGTCAGGACTTCAAAACGTGGGTACAGTGCAAGTTACAATCAGCATTATGTGTAAGGAAAGCCCTTATCCCTGAAAAGATGTGGTGGTTGGGTTTGTGTGTGAGTGAGGGTGATGAGGAGCTGTCAGAGAGGAGGAAGGTCAGGACAGCCATTTCTACAGTCAAATCAAACTGACATTGTAGTAAAGGAGGTTGGCTTTCTTGGGCAATTAAGCAAAACTTAAGTTCTTTATAAGTATTCAGATGTTAGTTGATCTGAGCTTGTGTCCTTTTTGGGAGGGTCCGAGTGACCTTTTTTCCTTGTTCTTACTTTCATTTCCTGTGATTGATTTCCTGGGTTGTGCTCTTTTTTGGGTATTGGGGATACCCTGAACATTAACAGGTGCCTTTGTCTTTTCCTAATTCAGAAGAAGAAGTCTGCGCTTTTCGAAGTAGCTGAAGTGGTACCAGTTATGACGAATAACTATGAAGAGAATATCCTTAAAGGTGTGAGGGATTCCAGCTACTCCTTAGAAAGTTCTTTAGAACTGCTGCAGAAGGATGTGGTGCAGTTACATGCCCCTCGCTATCACTCCATGCGCAGGGTAAGTAATGTTCAGACTTGTGTAGAACCTTGTACAGATTTAATTAAGAATTCAAGTATATGTTATTTTTGGTTGTCTGTTGGATAATATTGCATTGCTCCTTATTATTTCATATGAAGGCTAGTTTGTCATTTATTCTGCATGAGTCTGTATCAGAGAATATTATTTTCTTGTTAAAGTTTGAATCAGATTCTCTTATCCCTTTCATCGTCTTTAATAATCCTAAGTAGTAAGGACATCAGGTTGATGTTTAAAAAGGGTGAATGGCTTTGGTGAAAATTCTGCCCTGCAAAGAGCTCAACCTACTTGTCCACCAGCACCATGTACATCAGCAACTTGGTTTTCTCTGTCTCTCCCAGTATTGATCAGACCCAGCCTTGCTTTGCTTCTGAGATCTAATGTGACCAAGCCATAAGGTGGTAATGCTGTTGTCATAATTGTGTACTGTATGTGTAGTGTCTCTCAAATCTAAATTTTGAGAGATAGTGAAGCGAGAGCAGTGATTGGACAACAAGGTGGTAATGCTGCTGTCTTATTGGTTTGAGTTTGTTTGACATACTGTTTCTTCAATTGCAGGATGTCATAGGTTGTACCCAGGAGATGGATTTCATTCTTTGGCCTCGTAATGACATTGAGAAGATAGTCTGTCTTCTGTTCTCCAGATGGAAGGGATCTGAAGATGAGCCCTTTAGGCCTGTTCAGGTGGACCTACCTACAGTCTGTACATAGAAACTGCCATTGTTTATAAAATTGCACATTTTGATTACTTTTATTCCTTGGAATAAAGGGCTAGTCCAATATTTGAGACTAAAAAGTCACTTAATATTTTAGGGTATACTAAATCAAATGTATTACAGTGCTGAAATCTTATTGATTATGGAGTCATAGTGTTTTAAAAACAATAATGCCAAGGTAATGAAAACATCTGACCATTCCAACTAAATTACACTTATGCTGAGCTGTTATTTGTTCCCTATGGAGTCTAGGCAGGCTGTTTTAATGTTTTTGCTTATTTGATGTAGTAAATGAAAATGTTAAACCAGCTTTCATGTTGAAAGGACCTACTGGGACAGATTCAGGAGAATGAAGAAATTAGGCACTCTTGGTAAAACTCTTGGCACAACTGTTCTAGTCACAGAAGAGGAAACTTTATTTGAAATATATCCAAGATTCAGTTCCTTTTTTATGCAAGAGAATTGCACCAGAGAAAATGCAGTTTCATTTGAGTGGGATGTAACAACTTCATTGTATTATAACCTTAAATCAAATATTTGGTCCATATTTTTATGCACACCATAAAGTGTGCTTAGAATCCTCATATGAACAAGATCTGTGAAAGATAAAATGCAATGAATGTCATTTAATTAGATATAAGCAAGATGGATGTGGAGAGAATATATTCAAAACCTTTATGCTTGTAGTCAACTTGAGTTCCCATTGCTGGTATCTTAAAGAGAGTAATTCAGTATTCTAAAAAAAATCCTTTGAGTTTCTAATTTTAATTTTTTCATATATGAAGAGACTTGCTCTTTGTGTATGTAAAGAATGGTTACTGGTCTGCTGTGATGTAGACTAGGTGAACCCCATGCTCTCTTTAAAACAAAATGTTGGTTTCAAAAATAATTATTATAGCATAAGGAACATATGGCCATCAGGACCGAGTTTGGTGGAGTTTCTAATATAACTTACCTCATTAGTATCAGAGCGCAGGCAGTGTACTGAAGATGCCGGAATAGGTATACCAGTGTCTTACCATTTAAATGTGAGCACAGTGTTACAATATATATCATTTTAAAATAACAAAAAACAAAACTGAAAGTATGAAATGTAGATGGCATATTGCCTAAGTTAAATTCACAAATACATTCACTGTTCTTGAATAAAAAGTGGTTTAGCTCTTTTATTGTGATGACTCTTTCTGTTCCTGGTGGATAAATGGTCAGGGTATATATGTGATGGACTGCTGTAATTAAATCCAAAGTTTGTCCTTTCCTGTTGCATTGCCTATCTTTGACTTTTTTTGTGAATTCACAGCAGATTTTATGTGAGGAAGCAGAAGTCAAACTCATTGAGCAGCTTGTGCACATTGAATGAGGCCTGGTGTTGAAAGCTATTGTATGAAGGCTATAGGCCAGGTAGGGGAGAGTTAAGTCAGGCCAATGGAAGAAATAAGTGACTTTGTTTATTTCAGGCCAAGTTTGAGTTTCATCATGGAGACTACGAGAAGCAGTTCCTGCATGCACTGAGCCGAAAGGACAAGGCTGGAATGGTCATGAATAACCCCAGTCAGTCTGTGTTCCTCTTTATGGACAGACAACACTTACAGGTAACCTCATGCTGGGAGGCTGTATTTTCACTCGGGGGCTTTTAAAGTCTAGTTCATTTGGCTGTTGATTGGTTCATGTAGGTTGATATTTGGGTTTAGTTGGGGGTTGTACGTTCACCCTCCAACAGCCATGTAATCGCAATATGAGAGATCAGTTGACCATTGAAAAAGTGATCTTTGTAGATTGTAGATTTGCCCCTTCATTCCTTTTATGAGTTAATACAGTCCTGCTACTCCCACTTACTGTACATGCCATGCAAATTAATATAAAAATACCAATGTGATTTATTACTGAGGCAGGATTAGGCATAAAAGTTAAATGACAGCACTCACAACAAGCACGAATACAAAACAATTTAATGAGTACTTGCAAGAAGTGCAAAACAGTTAAGTAGTGCACAAATTACACAAAACAGGTGTTGACCTAATAGATTTGGGCAATGAGTTCCATAGACATGGCGCTATACACAAGAGGTCTGTCTCCCACTATAAGGAGTTTTGTCTTTTGCAGAATAAGAAAGTCTGAATTGGTAGTTTCAGGGTTAAGAGCTGGAAAATACCTGTGTAAGTCTAGTATGAAAGCAAGGGCTTCCACAGAGGTGTCAGTTTGGCAAACAGTATCACAACATTCTTAGCGTGTGTAAAAATGCTGGACAAGTCCAGTTACCTATAATTATGAGTTAGCACAGCTGCTAGAGGAGTGACTTAGTGACTCTGAAAGAGGGGTGATTGTTGAGGTGCATTTGTCTGGACCTTCAGTGACCTGTGCTGTACAGTGAGGCTGTGCATAATTACTGCCATGTGTCACCCAGGTAGGTGCTACACTTTAGTGTAGGTGAAGTATGAATCCCTTGTACTTACGAAGCACTTTGGATTTGAAAATCACACAAAATGTAAGAAATTATTATTAATTACACTTTTACTTGGCAGTCTTTTTTTCATAGGTTTATATGAAAACCTATGAAATAGGGCAGTGTTTCCTTATCCTGGTCATGGAGTACAGCATCCATATTCAGACAACATCCTCAAAAAATTCCTCCTTTAACACAACATTCTAAAATTAATTAAAATATACAATTGTGTGCAAAACGTTTAGGCACTCTTGGTAAAATTGTATGTGAACCTCTAAGTACAAAGATGTTGACGCAACCTTTTTTTGCATGGTACAAACTTAAACATGACATCTTTCCTCATATTTTAATGCTTAATTAGTATTAACAGTTTTTTAGATATTCAAAATATTAAAAAAGTGAATATGACAAATGCAAAGGTATGGGCACCCTGTCAGTCAATATTTTGTAACACCTCTTTTGGCAGAAATCACAGCTTCCAAACATTTCCTCTAGCCTGCTTAATCTTTCTATTCTTGCTTTTGGAATTTATTCCCACTCTTCCTTGCAGAACCCTTCTAGCTCAGAAATATTCTTAGGTCTTCTTGCACGCACTGTATGTCCCCCCCCCCCCCCCCTATTCAAGTCTATGAACTGTGAAGGCCATTCAAGAACCTTGATCTTTTGTTCTTGTAAGTAATTTATGGTTGAGTTTGAGGTATGTTTTGAAGGTTGTCTTGTGGAAATATTCAACCTCTGTTCTTCAATTTCTTTTAGGATTTGTTGATATTTAGTCAAATTAATTTGTTGACAGATGTTCTTTTCTGTGCTTTTTGGAAAAAAAAAAATTTTCATCAGTCCATAGCACTCTGTTCCATAAAGTTTTCGGCTTATTAAGGTTTTGTTTTGCATACTTTAGGTGTTGACGTTTGAGATCAGATTGTAGTCCTTCTGACAGCTCTCCCATGTAACTTTGTACTGTAGACATGTGAACAACTACTCATGTTGGATAAACTTCTGTAGATCCTTTGCAGTGATCTATGGCTTCTGCTTTGCAGATCTAACCTGTTTGTGAGCAGTTCTATCAGAGATGTTTCGGAGATTTTTCTGGGTCTAGATATTGCCCTGACTCGAACCGTAACCTTTAACAATTTTAGTGATGATTCTTACAGTTGAAGGTGGAAGTGTTTAGAGACTTTTTTTATAGCCACTTATAACTTTTTGGGGAAAAAATAAAAAGTAGTAATGAATCAACTGGAAGGTTGCCCAAACGTTTGCACATGCAACATTCACTTTCATGTTTTAAATCTGTTAGAATCAGCAAATATATAGTATTTCTGCATTATAATTTGAAGACAAATGTACCATGTTGAGATTTGTCAACTACTTTTAACTTGGAGGTTCACTGAAATATACAATATATCCAGGGGTCCCTAAACTTTAGCACACAACTGTAAAACAAAGTAACTGTTTACATAAGTGTTCATCCCCCCTCCCCATCGTGAGTTGGTGTTTGTCACTTTTGTGACGTCAGTGTAGGGGCATTTGACAGAAATTAGTTTTCTTTACTAAGTCTTGACCAGCTTCGCACATCTGGAAACTGCATTTTTTGTCCATTGTTTATTGCAAAACTGCTCAAGCACTCTCAAGTTGGATGGGGACTATTGGTGAACAGGAATTTTCAACTCCGACCACAGAGTCTCGATTGGATAATCACAGTTGTACATTTTAGGTATAATCAAAATGTATTTAAAGTATGTCTCTTTTTGTTAGTAATATTCAAAAACTATTTGTGAAACTAATCCATACCAATGAAACAACTAATCCAGTGTTGTAAAGTACACTAAATTGGCCTTTCAGTAACAGTTAAATCTGTTCTTTTGAGCTGAAGGTTGTAATCTTTGCATATATTGGTTTAAAATAGAAGATGGTAATTTCTGAACTCATAAATTGATTAATTGGTTAATAATCACTATCATAAGGCAGACTACAGATTTTGGCTTTATGGTCTTAGTTGCAGTTTTCTTATCATTCTCCTTAGTAATTTTGAGTAGAAGAGGTTCCTAGCAGTATTCTACTCTAATTACCCTGATGTCCTGATGAATTTGAAGATCCTCATCCATCTTTTCCTCTATAGTGAGCTAATTCATTTTTTCCTCTTTCCTGGTCAAACAGACTCCAAGAAAACAGGCCACAGTTTTCAAGTTGTGCAGCATCTGCCTTTACCTGCCACAGGACCAGCTGACCTGCTGGGGGGTTGGGGGCATTGAGGACAACCTCCATCCCTACATGCCAGACTAGGGTCATCGCCTAGCCATACAGGGAAGATCCTAGAAACCACAACAGCAAGCTCGCCTCCTCACCTCCACAGAGATTCCTTTTTAATGACAAGTGAACTCGTGCTTGGAACACTCCTTTTGTTAACCATTTTTTCATGCATCCCTGGAGCTTCTTCTCTCATTCACTCATAATTTTATTTCCTACCAAACTTACTGTATATTTTTTTCCTTCTTTTCATGTGAACCTGCACGAACATTGATTTGTCTTGAACGGTTGTTCCCTTGGAGCAGCATTGTCCCGGAAACCGGTGATGGAAAGAACTCTATACACAAAACAGGAACAAATGACTAAAGTCTTAATGACGGTCCTCTCATTTTGTACTGGTTGTGTGTCCCTGTCATGAACGATAGTCTACTCGTTTGTATTTTTCACAGGATCAGTGCTACCAGAGATTTTTTTGTTGCAGTTAGGTAATCTGGGATGAGAGAGGGCAAGTGAGTGGAAGTTTGATTTCTCGAAATCTGTTATAAATCCTAAAAAAGCAGAGAAATAAGGTGAGGAGCCTCGTCAAAGATCATTAAGTGTAGGCATTGCCTTTCTGTTTATTTTTTTTCTGCTGACAAGTGTTGAGTTTTGCTGGCTCTTTTATTTTTGGATCTCTTTCTCTGAATTGGCTATGATGTATTTTAAAACGTATTACTTAGTGAAAATTTACACACATTTAAGCCAGGCAGACCCTAAATAAAAACAGGAGCATGGACAGCTTGTAGGATGAGGGTACAATAATGATGTGATGCAAAATGGCAGAAAAAAGCTTAAGACGTAATGTTTTTCAAATGCATACGGTCATATAAGTTGTAACCATACAAGGAAGTCATGCACTATTCTCTGGCTACTGAAAACATGTTGTGGGATTTATTTGGGGAAAACTTAAAAAAAGTGGGGGGAAGCTCATGTACCAAGCAGTTATAAGCTGTGGAGAAAAACGTAATGGAAGTGTTTAGATTTAAGACTTTTTTTTCTTTTGACAGGCAAAAAACTCTTGAAGAGTAGGAAATTCTTGCATTGCTTTAATGGGATGGGGTTAATTGTAAGCTGGCTTTACTGGGTATAAAGGCACAAATCGGCAAATTTATATTTGCCTCCTGTTAAATCAGCAAACTGAAATAAAGGGTGAAAATAGAATTGTTTTGTCTGTAAATTTATTGGATGCCTGTCTTTTCCTTGAGAGGTACAAATGTATCTCTTAAAATTGTATACGTCCGATAAGAAGCCTTACTACAATTTCATATCAGGTGGGTATTATATATATATACACTTATATACACTCTTAGGAAAGTGGCAGTGTTTGCTTGCCAGACTTATTCAGAAAGCTTGAATAGCAAATAAAATAGTCCTCATTTAATGTGTTTGTCAACACATGAAATCAAAACTTGGTAAACGTCAAGAAAGCGGGAAGTTTTATGATCCATTCTCTTAACCCCTGTACTTAGATTTGTGGGACAGAAAGCAGAAATAGCTGTGTATAACTTAAATTACTAAAAATGAGCAAAAGCACATTTAAAGCTATAATATCAAAGATTTTGACCGAGAAGCTACATCATGCTGCCTGCACATTAAACCTACAGTAAACATAAATATCTACAGGTATAACCAGTGTATCTTCCATTTTTTTTCCAACAGTACTGTAAATGTTGTAGATCCTGTATTCTGCTAGGTGCTTTAAGATCTTTTGATCATGAGCCAAAGTATAGAAGATAACTTGCTGGGGAGCAGGTACAAGTAAACTGAATGGAAATAATCCCGAGTTGGCAAGAATGCTGATATTTGATATTGAGTGTATTTTCAGCAGTGTTGCCAACTTTTAGTCTGTTTTTTTTTTTATCTCGGAAGCTAAGCTAGGGTGTCGGTATTGGTCATGATACATGTAAGTAAAATAAGGTTGCTGGTTGAGTGGGTTATTTTGTCCTTAGCCATGAAAAATCCCATGTTCTTAAGAAGGTGGCCTGACTGTTCAAACCCAGGTTGGAGTTTAATCTGTTTTACATAAAGATTCCTTTAATTCAATTAGTGAAGCTATTTCTCACTTCTCATTAATAACTTCCAAACATCTTGTAGATGGATGCTGCCTTTAAGTGATGGAGTGGACCCCCCCTGTATATAAAGCATTTTGGGATCCTTAGGGTGGAAAGTGCTATAAAAATGCAACTTAAAGTTTTTACAAACTCTTTAAAGTAATTTCCCACTTATTTTTAATGAAGCCATGTCTTGGAATACTTTCACCCTATTTTAAACATCAAAATACAGATCAGTCTTAGACTGCGTATTTTCACCTGCAAAGGTTAAAGTTGCACCTTCTTAGTTGCATCTGTAAGTTTGCTGTATTCATAGAAATGTCATGCAGATGGATAATTGTAGGGAAGTGTGGATTTTTCCATCACATCTCAGTACAGAATGCATGTACAGCTACCACTGTGACTAACAAATTCTATGATACACATATAAGAATACGTGGGAAGGTCTAGTTTTTGACCAAATCTGCATTCAGTGAATTAGAGACAACTAGTGTAACCTTGGCTCGCAGTGCAACAATGAGTATTCTTCTATCCAAAAGCACTTGTGATTTTCCAGTATGTCAGATCAGAGGTGCACCCAAGTCCTACCAATTCACTGGGGTTTAAGTGCAATAAACCAGATAGAGATCTACTGCACATTGATGAAGACATGATCGTATTTTCTATTAGTCTGATGAAGTGCTAGTTTTTGTTTTATAATCCAGGTTGATTAACAAGTGGATATTGGATGGCACAAAGATTGTAAAGAAAACATATCTTGTGAACATCTTTGTTCATGCAATATGAATTGTAGCTCATAGTACAAACATTTTTAAAAGTTTATTATTCCATGCCCTTTACTAAAGATTCACTTAGTTCTTCAGAAGGGGTTCATACAAGGGGCCTCCAGAGTGATGCAATCAGTAAAGATGCTTGTCTGAGTCATGTCACTAGCTGACTGTGATCAGGATTCCACAAGAACCAGAGCACAATTAACCTAGTGCCTCCCTGAGGTTGTCCGGGAACTCTCGTCTCTCGGTGATTCCTGTGACCCCACAAGAGATTGCAGGTACGCTATACTACTGATGATGGACTTGTGGAATGGAGCTCTTAAAACACAAATGGGTCAACAGTATGCCTAAGCTCCTGCATGAGATTCGTTACTGTGAACCGAGTCTTGAAAAACAATTGGTCATGCCAAAGTGGGTGAGTTTAACAAAACAATAATTTGTAATTATTAAAAGAGAGAACACACAAGTAACTTTTATTTCTGTTCACCTTGAGTATTTAAAAGTATATGAGCAAATGCTTCTAAAAGACACCTATTATACAAGATGCAAAGACCAATAACTTACATTAGAAGTGTGAAGATAAAGGCATAGTTGCCACAAACACTTTGATCACCAGTGGCATTTGTGCCAGGTAATAGATACAGTTTTTCTTAGATTTTCTACACCATTCAGAAGTGTACAGTCTTCTGGTCTTGTTCAGCCACCAAGATGCTTGGTGTGTCTTCCCTGAGCAATGAGCTTTCCTGTTTCTTTGTTTGTGATATCTACAGTTGCAAATGCCAAGGTCCGTCCTTGCTTCAAAACCTGGGCAGTGATAAGGACATCCTCTCCCAATTTTGCAGTGTTCATATACCTAATCATTAAAGCAAAAAAGTGTTATTAATTGCTATGCTAAAGATGAAACATAATTGCCACAATCTACGCTGTTATCCTGTAGCTGATAAATATGGTCATTCTAGAAGAATTTTCCAAATACGGTAATATTGTACAGTTATTTTTTTTCTGAGCAGAAACCCAGCCACAATATCTGTAGTGTGTATGCTGATTAATGGTTCCATTTAGTTCATGCTATGAGCCTCACCAACCCCACAAACCTCACTCTTTCTGTCCTCAGATTTTAATACGGCTATGGGATAACAGTTAAACAATATATTATTTCTATGAGTGTGATGTACAGCCACGTAAAAAAGAAAGTACACCCTCTTTCAATTCAATGGTTTTACATATCAGGGCATACATAACAATCGTCTGGTCCTCACCAGCTATAACTAGACAAATCCAACCTCAGATAACAGACAACACATAACAGATTTCACTATTATTTACTCAAAACAAAAAGTAAGCCAAAATGCAGAAACCATGTGGGAAAAAATAAGTACACCCTTACTGCTTCCATAGGAATTATGAAGGTAATTAGCAGTCAGGTGCTGCTAATCAAATGCACTTGATTAGTTGATCATCAGGAAGTGTGACCACCTCTATAAAAGCAGAACGTTTGGCAGTCTGATGGTCTGGAGCACTCAGGTGTGTGTTAACACCATGCCAAGGAGAAACATCAGCAATGAACTCAGAGAAGCAATTGTTGCTGCTCATCAATCTGGGAAGGGTTATAAGGCCATTTCCAAACAATCTGAAATCCATCCTTCTACAGTGAGAAGGATTACTTACAAATGGAGAACATCCAAGACAGTTGCCAATCTTCCCAGGAGTGGGCGTCCCAGCAAATTCACCCAAAGGTTAGATGGTATAATGCTCAGAGAAAACGCAAGGAACCCAGGAGCTACATCTAGGGATCTACAGACCTTTGTTAACAAGTTAAAAGTTAAAGTTAATGACAATGGTATCAGAAAAAGACTGAACAAGTATGACTTTCATGGAATGATAGCCAGGAGAAATCCCCTTCTCTCCAAAAAGAACATGACGGCAGAGTTTAGGTTTGCAAAGTTGCATCTGAACAAACCACAAGATTTCTGGAACAATGTCCTTTGGCCCGATGAGACCAAAGTGGAGATGTTTGGTCATTATGCACAATGCCATGTTTTGTTAAAACCGAACAGCATATCACCACAAACACCTCATAAGAACTGTCAAGCATGGTGGTGGAGGGATGATAATTTGGGCTTATTTTGCAGCCACAGGACCTGGGCACCTGGGCACCTTGCAGTCATCGAGTCAACCATGAACTCCTCTTTATTCCAAAGTATTCTAGAGTAGAATGTGAGGCCATCTGTCCGACAGCTAAAGCTTGGCTAAAATTGGGTCATGCAACAGGACAATGTTCCCAAACACACAAGCAAATCTACAACTGAATGGCTGAAAAAGAAAAGAATCAAGGTGTTGGAATGGCCAAGTCAAAGTCCAGACCTTAAGTCCACTGAGTTGCTGTTGCGGGGCCTTAAGAGAGCTGTGCATAAATGAATGCCCTCAAACATCAATGAACTGCAGCAATGTTGTAAAGAATCCTCCAAAACGATGTGAGAGACTGTTACAGAAAATGATTACTTCAAGTTATTACTGCTAAACGTGGTTCTACAAGCTACTGAATCATGCGGTGTACTTAGTTTTTCACACATGGCTTCTGCATGTTGTTTTTTTTTGTTAAATAATGACATAGTGGAATCTGTTATGTGTTGTTCATCACCTGAGGTTAGATTTATCTAATTTTAGGACCTGGTAAGGACCAGATGATTTTTTGTTATGTCCTGATGTATAAAACCATAGAATTGAAAGAGGGTGTACTTCTTTTTTCACATCACCTTAGCTGTTTTCCAGTGCTTTGACATTGGCTTTTGAGGTAAAAGTCACTAGGACTAAAAATCTGCTTTTGTACTTGACCAATATAGCTGAATGGATGCCAAAAGGAAGGCAAGAGAGAGATAATTTTCACACAATGGGTAACTTTACTATTGACCGTAGTGCTTTTGGGTCTGAACATTTCCACTCTTCAGCAAGTTTGATGGAGTCCAAAACTTTTTTTAAAATACCATAAATGTAAAGGAGATGCCTGAACCATATTCATTCAATGAGAATGATTCCCAGTATAACAGGTAGTGGCTATGACATTATAAATAAATAGAACATAATTATGAGCTTATTGATATCCTTTCAATTGCAGTTTAATGGTTACTTTGAGAGTTTAGAGGTAACAGGTCTCTTCTACAGTTTTTAAGGAATTGTAATGATATTTTAAAGGACTGAACGCCAAGGAGGCAGAGAGCTGCGAGGACAAAGGTGCCGTTTAATTATTTTTAATGAATGCGTCTGTTTCAGTTGTAGAAGTAAAAACTTGAGGAGTAACAGACTCACGTGATGTTCATGTCTACGCTGACGCCGGGCTCCGCTCTCTCAGTATAAAGCAGGGCCGTAGTGGAAACTATATCCACCAAAGTGGCAGTCAGCCCCCCGTGCAGAGTGCCCCCGCGGTTCGTGTGCTCCTCTTCCACTTTCATCTCACACACCACTTTCCCCGGGCAGGCAGACACGAGGTGCATCTGTACCAACAACACCACATCACACACCAGACCGGAGCGATCAGGGCAAACTAGTAGAAAGATTTTCTGGTGCTTGTACTTTAGAAATAGCAAAAATGCTAAAACATTTGGAAGAAACAATCTGTTAAGTTATTAACAGTATTTTTCATTAGATTCTGGAATTTTAATATTTTAATAATGTAACGCAACGGGGGCTCAGGCGGGCGCCCTTGCCGCATCTGGTCGGCCCCTGCACCGTCCGGGGCACGAACCCAGGACTTCAGCGTCTCTCTGCAGCGACCTAGCCCCGTGAGCTAAAGAGAGATCTCTCAACGGCCCACCCAGTAGCTGTAGTCCTGCTATCACAGGGAAGGGCGGTGACGTCACCTGCTCTGGTACGCCGGCTCTTACACACAGTGCTTGTCGGAAGTAAGCGTTACAATAAGTTAACCTTATTTCTATGCGCATTAAAATCGTGCTCCTTGACGGAGCGGAAAAACCTGGTTGTTTACATTCAAGTTTTTTAGGCGTGTATACATTATTAAAGTTGATAACTTTTGTAATGTTTGTGGGCAAAATGAAAAGCAAAACGAAACTCTTCCTCAATCTTGTGTCTATCTGATGACTCCCTAACCACTAACATGATTTTGTTATAGTACTAAAATGATACCTAAACAAATCTAGTAAATACGAGCTGACGGTGTCTGAAAATACCTGTAAATATTTAGGCTTGTCCCGCAAACTGCAACTAAAACGCACCACAATGAGAGGACACCGACATTAAAATCCTAAATGGCAGCATTTGTAGTTACCAGGACAAGCAGCTGCAAACGCCTTAGAATTCCACTTACCTTCCTTAAAACTCGATCAAATCCCGGACCATCAATCATAGCTCTCATTAACTGTTTTAAAGAATTTAATGACGAAGAACCCATCACTCAATGTCAAACACTCAGAATAAGCGCCCTTTCTCAGTAGCATGAAGCTGGCTACATTAAGTGACGCTGGCTTGGCAGCACCTTTCAAAATAAAAGTCCCCTAAACCTGCCTCATAAAAAATAATCCTGGACCAGTTAAAGTCACATTTATAGCACAACAAAAATGTGTACATCCTCAAAGCTAGATGGAATGTGATAAATAGACCCACAGGTAATAGGAAATTGCCGTTTTTCAATAATGTATGTGCTTTCTTGCAATCGTATTGGTGTTTTTATATCACTTCCTCCTTGCAAATTGACAGAGCTGTGCACTGCTAGACAGCAAAACGTCTCATTGCTGACCAAAAAAATTGTGCCTCTCCAAAAGTAGTTCAAATCTATTCTACAGACCCACAGCTAATACAAAATCACCATGATTTTCTTAGATAAGTGTCTGCCAAAACTGCTGGGGTTTATAGAGCACCTCCCATTCCCAGACTGGGACCGTGCAGTGATGGGCAGGGAGTGGTCTCACTCCCCTCCTGACCAAACAAACATTTGTGCCTCTTCAGAAATACCTCAAATCTATTCTACAGACCCACAGCTAATAGAAAATCACCTTGATTTTGTCACATAAGTGTCTCTTTCAAAACTGCTGGGGTTGATAAGATCACCTGCTGTTCCCAGACTGGGACCATGCAGTGATGGACAGGGAGTGGGCTCATTCCCCTCCCGACCAAACAAACATTTATGCCTCTCCAAAAGTGACTCAGATCTGTTCCACAGACCTTCAGCTAATAGTATATAACCATGGTTTTGCCAGATGAGCGTCCTTTGCAAATGTTGACGGGGTTTATAGGGGCCTTTTAGCGGTGGATACTAGATTTTTCTCGAAGGACATGTTATCACAATGTGGGCATTGTTAACACTTCACCGGTGGATCATCCTTTCTGGTTTGAAATAAAGTGTCTATTTCACACATTTTTCCTTACTGTCTATGGGATAATTGTTTTTTTTTTTGGGGGGGGGGGGGGATGAAAGACATACTATCAAACTTCAGTATTCTGCTTTATTAAATTTATTAGAGTGTATAGAAACAGCCAAAATATTGAATAGACCTTCAATGGTGATGTGTCTTTCCTAGGAAAGTGGCTCTGCCACAGACATGGTATGGAGCCTTTTTGATTTGATTCGGTAATGTGGAAACAATGACTCACATGTTACCCAAGTACCAGTAGATAATTGATTCCCCCCATGTGTTGCGATAGACTGGAAAGTAAAGATGCCTTGCAGGTGTTCTGTATCAAAACACTACAGATTTTTTCTTAAATCAGATCAGCTTTTATTATTTTGAGTGTAGAACTACTCAGATAGCATTCCAATGCTGCTTCAGCTATCTGGCCTATTATCCTTTGGACACAGAAATTCTGCACAGCACGGGGGGAGGAAAAACCTCACTTAACTGCAAGAGAACCTCCAGGAGTCCATGGCTTGGGAGTCCAATTCTGGATCATTGATATTTCGCGAGAAATTCTCTAATATTAGATTCTTTGTCAATTTTACCTGGTTTGGCATCTATGGGTATTTTTGGAAATCTGAATAGCTTTAGATCCCTGAAGGGTATTGTTACAGGTAACGCTGTCTGTTTCTTTGTCACTGATTGCAAGCTATTCAAAGACTCTTTCAGTGCCTTTTTATTATGCAGTAGAGTTGATATGTAACTGTTCAGTGTCTCCAGGTTTTTGTTGTATTTCATGAGTATTGTCATTCTCAACTGTGAGTACATGGTTTGACGAACATATGTCTCTGTCTGATATCTCATTTATTTATAGAAAACAAAGGCAACATTAGTTTAGTCTATGCTATGTGTTGGTTGTGTTTGATCATTTGCTTTAATTCTAAATTTCTGTCCAATGCATGAAAGTACCGCCCAATTATGTCCACCTGTGCTTAAAGAGTTTCCTTCATGGCATATTGTTGATTTAATAGTACATTGCACTTTACCAACACCTTCCAATTCCAACTGCAGTTCGCAGAGGAATGTGCTCTGGGAATCTGAATCACAATAGTTTGTGGACAAGAGCTAAATCGTTGCTTCCAGACCACTGATTGCTTACAGTTTGAGCAATTCTGTGTGACTATGTTCTCTAGCAAAGACTTGTGTATGAGGGTCGATAAACTCATGAAAAAATCAGCTATCTGTGCAACCAAAAAGTGACTGACTTCAAACTACAGTTCTAGCAAACGTCTACATGGGAAGTAATAAAGGTACTATTTATTTGGCCACAAACAACCCAGGATATAAGGGGAATTATTAAATTGGCTGGGTCAATTTCTCTCTTGAAATCTATTGAAGATATCACTTCGCATATCTCATCTGTTGATGGGAGGTTTGACCAAATTCAGTTAACAGCCAGGCATAATCTTAAAACCTTTAGAATAGAATTCCATATTTATTTTGGTCTGTATTGCATTCATATTACACACTACATGACAAAATTAAACCAGCACTTGTTTAGGGCTTTTTTTAACTGTTTTTGAGATTTTAATGATATTTCTTGTTCCATTCCTCCTCTTCCACAAGGGCAGGAGACTTACTTGTTCTAGACAAATTCAGTCTTATCTTATCACAAAATTCCCTTTCATGTGCTTTGTAAAGAGTTCCTAACCTTTCCACAGATTCATTTTGAATTAGACCTCAGAAATTGATGTAGTCCGTCCATTTTTCGGTATTGCTGAAATCTGCCCATTGGTATGTCTGTCCATACTGGGATTGGCGACAGGACATGTTTTTTCCAGAAATAGTTTTGAACCAAAATAGTCATTGGGCCCTTTGTTCTCCTGTCTGTGTATATCTGCCATTGCCTTAATTTTTTCTTAAATGGTAAAGAAATGGAATCATTCAAATTCTCTATGCATCCAAAATCAACATACAGTATGAGTCCTCAGCACCTGTAACAGTGGAGACACTGCTAGTGTTCAATTGTGGCACTCGACTTCTGAAATTGGAAATATACTGTGTGACAAGTGTGTTACTGTATCTACTACCCATGAAAATGCAGGTGTCATAACTATGAGCAGACAGGTCTTCTAATCCTGTGGAATTAACTATGACACTAAAGATATACATGCCTACTCTACAAGGTTTCCTGGGTTATTTTAGCTGGTTTTGGAAAATTACCACTGTGCTTGAGTTTTAATTTCAAGTGTGTTCTCATAACAGCTACCATCTAGATTCATACCATCAACATCAGTTCTGCACATACTGTGCATTTCACATTCGGAGGGAATGACATGAGGAACAATTTCCTTGGGTGTTGGATGCACTACATACAATACAGCTTTCCACTTCTGTGTCACCATTTAGCTCGCCCTCCCTATCCTGAGAAACCATCTGTTTTTTGTCTGTCTAACCACAATAAGATACAAAAATGAGATAATCCAGCACTGTTTGAGTACCAATGCTGACATGTGATACAGTACATCAATTTTACTTTTTTTGGTTACATCTGACTTATTATGTATTACACTGGTGATTGCTTCAAATTTGTTCATGAAACTGAACCCAGTTTTTAATGCTGTAGCTTTAACATCACAATTTTCTGAGCAACACAGAAACCCTACAGATTAAATATCTTTGTAATTCCGTGTAATACCTACACAAAGTTAAACCGCTCATTGCAAGCATCGCACTCCACCTTTGTTTTTTTGGGCTGTGTCACGCCCAACATCCCTCCCTAGAGGGCGCTCCACTGCTCCCATTATTGTCCGAGTGATTAAGCTCTCCAGGTGTACCCTTTAAGCGTTATTACTTAAAGACCAGCTCCTCCAGTCTTCGGGGCTCATCATTAGGGTAAGATGTCGCGAGGCCCGCCTAGCACCAGGAAACCCTACGTCCGTCTCCTGAGGGCATAGGCCTCATCCCCGACACCTCCCATTTCCTGAGCC